GTGGACTGCTGTGCGTGCTTTATGCCAGTGGTGAATCACCACAACAAGGAGTTTGTGTGGCGCAGGACATTCTAAGCAGTTCATGCCATCCAGCTGAATTGAGTCCACATGAGTTTTTAAAATGATTGCTCTCTTACATGGTTATTGAAAAGAAGACAGTTTTACAAAACTTTCATTTCTTAGCTCTTGACACAGGTTGAATTGAACTCTTCTTCAGTTTCATTTATGGACTCATTGCAGTAAACTGCTTTCCTCTGTGTTGCCTGGAGTCACACACGCAGAGAGGGGGAAACGGGACATTTACCACTGTTCTGAGCAATAGATTTACCCAACCTGGGACGCTGTTGTTATAAATCTGCCCTCACCCTTCATTGTTTCACTGTGAGACTTTTAAACAACCTCACTGGAGCCATCTTACTGTATTTTACCCAATCTGCCACACTCTGTTACTGTCTCGCTTCTTTTGCTTCACTGTTTCTGATCTCACTGACCCTTATACATAAACACGCGCGCACAGATGTACATACATGTGCATCAGTCAGACAAATTAAGTCCAGAGACACCACCGAGGGCTGTTTGGGCCCAGACTGATAAAGTGCATAAGCATAACAACCGCAGGCTTAAAGATATCTGCAGACATCTGTGATGGAGGAACCAGGACTGAGGTCTTTAAGATATCGCTATTGTCATCATTATTTTACCTTCCAGCCAGCACGGGTCAAAGGACAACAGAGCCTGTCTGTTGATTGTGTATTTCTAATCTGAGTTTGAAATTCTGCCATCATTTCACATGCACTAGGACATCCAAACACAGCTAAGGGAGACAGCAAAAGAAGTGTATGCTGCGATCTAAAAAATTGTAAATATTAAATCATAACAGGGACCTGGAGAGTGGTGTAAATCCGGCAGGGTGATAAATGAAGACGACACATTGTGGTAAATAGAGATATGTTCAGGGGGATTTGTCTGGGCCAGCCAGACGCGTTGTAAAAAACAGGTTGGAAATGTGGAATGACCCCTGTCTCTTGATTTACCATCACAGTTAACATCAGGCTTGCTCAGAAAAACCCTTCAGATTCTTGGTTAAACGTCAAAATGGTGAATTTGGAAGCAACCTCTTCTTGTACTGAAAAGAAATGAGAAACAGAAAATAGCCTGTCCACAGACCGTGTCTATGGTCCAAGCAACAGACTTTCGCTCTCCCTCGTGTAGCTCTACAATTGCTTCGAATCTTAATTAGGTGTGCTCTTTAAACAAAAGCTGGTGGGAGCATTGGTTGTAAGACTGTTTAATATGTGCGAGCCAAGATCATCCAATTTAGCACCAAACCATAGGCAAGCGAAAATTCTCAATACAGAAAAAAAGAAAAGAATGAACTATCACATTGATACACAACATGTTTAAAAAGAGCAGTTATGAGGGACAGGCATGTGCAAAGGAAACCTTCTGTACATTTCCCTGCAGTGCAGTCGTCCTCCTTTGGTAAAGAAAACAACACATCTGGCCCAGGCCGGTTGTGTTTTCTTTTACACCCTCTCCACCTCTAACTGGATCTGACACTTCCTCTTTACAGGATCAGTACTAATATACTTGGCCTTGTCTACCTTTAAAGAGAAAATATTTTTTATAAATCCGGTCAACTCACTTCCTTTTTTTAGTTGCCATCCAGCCCAGTTACGGTGTTATCGACAGACCTTAAGCTGTCTGTGTCGCATCGAAGGCCACAGTCATGTGCAGCAGCTCACTGAGTGTGCCGTTCATGAGTCTCCAGTTAGGAGGGGGCAAAACAACTGTCAGAGTTTAACTGAAAGATAAGATTTAAGAACAATACAAGGATGTTTTATAATTATTTGTAATAGTTAAAAAAAATCTGTCATATGAATTTTGTAGATTGGTGTTTTGTACCTTTGGCTCCCCATTTAAACCAGCCCCTACTGTCCATTATAGCAGTCCATCATAATTTGGATAAGTTCAACAACTGCAATATATAGCCGGTCATAACACATTCCATGTCACTGTGTTTCTCTTCAGGAGGACAAAGTAGTGGACAAGTTAAGGTTTGAAGCAGATTGATGACTGTCAGTTCATCGGTCAGCTCGTGGGTTGGCCCCAGAGTCTTTTATGGATTTGTTCTCCTCAGGGCCATGGGTTTCTCCATGGCTCACACTGAGAGTGGTGGGGCTCCTGCGAGGGAGTGATTTGCCTGATTGAGCTCTCTGCGAATAATGTGTCATATGTTGCTGAATTTGCCATTTGAGGTGGAATTCTGAAATGGTCTTTACCGTCTCATGATCTGTCAGATTGCTCCTGACAGAACGTGTCTGGCCTTTCTATCATTGACAGCTTTTTCTTTTAAAAATGTCAGGGGTCTGAGAATGAAGAGCGGAGCAGCCTACACAGCTGATCTGGCGTTCATTTGTGTGTGTGTGTGGGGGGGGGGGGGGAGGAGGGAGAGTCTTAATGAGTTTGCTGTCATGGACTTTCACTGCAGCACCCTCTTTTACTGTTGAGTCCTTTGTCAAATAGGCCGACTGAAAACCATTGCAGTTGTTTTTTCATTGTATCCTGAGGCATCAGAGTTCAGAATGTCTGCAGGTGGAGATGTTACTGAGTCTTTGGGCCGGGTTGAGAAACTCTGCAGGTGTAGTTCACATCATGTTCGTTTGGGTGAGGATGTTTTCCACCCCTGCTGGGGAGCTTATGTGTTGGTTTGCCTTGCAGAGGGGAGTGCTGCTGGTACAGTGTTTAAAACACAGCAGCAGTGAGCACTGATTGTGCTGTGTCATGCCTACTAACAGCATAATGCAGCAGCTCCTGCTACCCATTTTTGAAAGAAAATGGTTTTTGTCTCCTTTTGTTATCTGTCTGCTTTTAACTCTCCAATTGTCACAGCGGCAGCAACAATTTTTTGGTCATAATCACACAGTGTCATCAGGCCCCATGTGTCTGTCAGAGCTGGAGTCTGAGAGGCAGAGCACAGTTCTGATGCCACCTTGTGGTAGAAATGGGAAAATGGTCAATATTTCTTTCTTTTTTTTTTACACTTTAACATGTTTCTGAAGCTGACCAAACCCAAAGACTAACCAAGGAAAAAAGATTTACCCCGTCATACTTTTGGTTATGTTGTTATGTGGGTTTTTTTCCTTATGTGTACCAAATGTGTGTCATATAGTATATGTGTATCAATGAAGAGAAAGGGACACCAAGGTGAAATGACTGCTACATTCTCACAAATTTTACAGCTAGCTGTCACAATCACAAATACCTGAGAGTATACCTGAGACATGTAACATTTATAAATATGTGAACAAGATTGTCAGGTAAATTTAAGTGAATTAAATCAGAAATGTCATCTTGTGCATAATCAACCAAGGAAATTATACACACACTAGCTTGGGTTGGTACTAGGTTGGTTGACTCCACCAAAATAAAAAAAAAGCAACAACAAAATAAAGAGTCTTCCAAGCAGCTTCCAATTTGGAGAGAGTTTTGTTTCCACACTGAAGATATTCTATTTATGCACTTTTTAGTGGTACAAGCTGTCGCCTCTCCGTTAGCACCACCTCTCCCTTCCCTCAAATAGAAGCAAAAAATGAACAAATAAGTTCTAAATAAATACAAATGGTGCTCTTGATGTTATTTATGTGGGCATGGTAGTTTAAATTTAGCTAAAGTCTTAAGGAAACTGAGGATTACCACATTGTTAAAAAAAAAAACCTCAGATATCATGTTCATATGACATTATTTCAAGTAAACTTCTTCTGTTAAATTGATCAAATCCCCTCTTTTTGTTTTATTAAGTAATCTAAAAGTAAAAGAAGCTGAGAAGAAAGATGGGAACACATGTGATGAGGATGAGGAAGGTGGAGGATTCTGACACTCTATGTGAGTGTCCAGAATGATCTAAGATTTTATTTCCACGTATCAGTTCAAAATGTGGTTATTTTCAGGCCTAAATATGCAACTGCAACTATATTTTCTCATTTTCCATCAAATAGTATGGAGGAGTGGGAACACAGCCACAGAGAGGAGCACCGATGCCCTCTTGTGTTAACAGCATGAGAATATTTACAGGGTTTTGTTGTGCTTTATAAGGCATTCGTTCTGTTAGTTAAACATTTACAGCGATAGCAGAACATACACATATTCTGAGCAAGAATTTTGTTATCTCTTGAAAATCATCTTTAAGATTTTTTGTTCAAATGCTCATCCTGATTTTTGTCTGAAAGCATACAGCAGATGCAGAAGACTAACCAAGTGCATGTAGGGACAAAAAAGCAGTTTAGTTTTTCAAGTGACATGAAAATCAGAATCTTTGCCTCTGTGTTTGCTGCTGCAAAAGGAATTGCCATTGAAAGATCCTGCTGTTCCACCACAGAAAAAAAAGTCCAGTTTAAAAAACACATGTAATGTAATCTGTGCAGAAGGTAAATATCTTAAAGTTAGTTTTAACCATGAAAGAACACATTAAAAGTGAGTTTTCCTCAAACCTGTGTAAGTTATTCTGTCTTTTAAAAATGGGCAATGAAGGATATTTTCCAATATGTCAGTCTTCAAGGAATTCTGCTGATAACAAAGTTATTTCATTTATTTGACTAGTATTCTGAACAGATACAGAAACTATATGACTAATATGTTTTACACATCAGCCAGATCAGTTACTTTTTCAACAAATGTTGATATGTAATTATAGCTTTTCTCACTTTTAAGTGGTTTTGGTATGAAAAAAACTCAACAAAACAGGAAGATCTGTGTGTCTGAAGAAGCATCTTTTCCACACCCGAGGACACACTTCCTCTATGAAGGGAGGCATTGAATGAATGTGACTTTCTTTGAGTGCAATCGCGTTTTTAGAAATGCAGCATTGTTTTCCAGAAAGAGTGCCGTGTGCTTGGGTGGGTAATGGTGAGGTGGTCGGGTGTGCGGAAGATGTCATGACCCCCCGCGCGCTGCCGCCGACTGCGCGTGGAGCCTCAGCAGTGCATCTCTCCGCCGACTGCGGCCACAGAGCAGCGGCGGCAGCGCGCCTGCGCAGTGCATCCAGGGACTCGGCAGCGATCGGTGCTGAAGTGGGGCGGATGGCTGAAAAAATAGCGGCGATGGACACTATTCCGCAGGATTGCCCCGCGCGATGCCGTTAGATAAGCATCGGGACGTCGCATTTCCCGTCTCCTATGACTCCCCGACGCTGACAGCCCCGACACGAAGGGGGTAAGAGCCTGCTTATTTCTGCGCTAACGATCCACGCACGGGGGGCTGCGCTAGCTTGGCGGTTAGCTCGGCGCTAGCCCCGCTGCTCCGCTTGCCACCGCCTCCTCCTCTCTCGCTTGTGGGGGGGTGGGGGGTGGGGAGGGGTGATAGCCCCTCGGGGGCCGTCGGCTAAAGCTAGCGAGAACAACGTGGGTGGGGTTTTAACGCCAAGAAGAAAAAAAAAAAAAAAAAGACAAAAAAATCTCCGTGCGACACCTCAGCCCCTCCGCGCGAGCTCCCCCTCCGCGCGGACTCGCCGTGGTTTCGGCGGTGCCAGCTGAGAGGGGATATCCCCCTCCCGGGGGGGGGGGGGGGGCGGACCCCCCGCGGGGGCCGAGCCGCCGCGGCCGCGCCAGAGATTCACGCAAAAAAAAAACACACACACACACACACACAGACAGACAGGCGAGCCGCTAGCCAGCGGAGCTAAGTGCACGGAGGCTGGGAGCAGGGTCCGGTGAGCTCTCTTCCCCGTTGCCTCGCGAGGCCCGCTGGGCAGATGCAGCGGAGCAAAGGGGGGGGGGGGCTGCGGTCCCACCATCCACCATAAACCGGACTGTCAGTCGTATTATCTATCAGGGGAACGGTTTTTTTGTCATATCTCCCTCTAACGCCACCGGGAAGACGTGCTGTTGTGCCACGGAGGCTCGGACTGGGGGGGGTCGGTTGGTTGGGTTGCAGCTACTGAACAGGCTTCCTGGTCAAGCTGCCCTCAGAGGTGGTCGGCTGAGTTCAAGGCAGGTGTCGTTTGCTTGTAATGATGGAGATTTTCTGCCTTGGCGTAAAGTGAAAGTGAAAGGTTGTAGAGACTGAAGGTGAAGCAGAAAGCCATGCATGGATGCAGTGTGATCCTTATTTGCCATCACCAGTGTTTACCTTTTCGGTTTTTGTCTCTGTTTTGTCTCTGTTGCAGCTTAGGCCTCATTACCCCCCCCCCCCCCCCCCCCCCCCCCCCCCTCTGACAACCGTACCTTTTACTACCTGGCACAAGAGGAAGGCTTGCACTAAAGTAAAGCAGCAAATTGCGAAAAGATTGATAGTTGGTCAACTAATCCAGTGCCTTCCTGTTCCTCTATTCCCTATTAAAACATTTTTATTTGTGATTGAATTTACTAATAATAAGCCTAATAGGTAATAGGCAGCCGCGCTCCTGAGTAGAGGTCATGTGGAGGCCATGTAAAATATCCCCGCTCCCATGGAGAAACCTCGTCTGTGGACAAAGCAAAATCATTTTTCGCAGACATTTGAAACACAGGGAGGAGCTTTGTCCCGGGCCTTTAGTGGATCCCCATGTTGCTCCCTCACTGGCTGACTTCACTGGATCAGCTTTTGCTTGTAAACTCACTGCTTTGTATTACCGTTTATCTTGATGTCGTGTGTTTAGGCAAACCAGCCAAAGAGCCGATAAGAAAAAGTTGTGTGAATTCAAATTATATGAAAACATGCAGCGGGCCTCAGGCCCTCTCAAAAGAGAATCTTTCTGATGTAATTTGGTTTTGATCTTTCATTTAGAGGCTGTCCGAACTGTTTCCATTCCCCACCACGTGCTAATGTTAGAGATTCATCCCACTGCTTGTATGTCTTCAGTGTCCATGTCGACATGAGAACACCTCTAAGCTGCTGTTATGAGTGAAAGCATGTTGTTGGAACAATAATTCCTGTGTGAAACAACCTGTAATACGAGGGCAGCTCTGGAGGATTTCCAGCTTTTAAGCTTCCCTCAGTCAGTGGATAGATTAAACATGTGACATCTTTCTATGATTAGGCATGGAATGACAAACCCAAAGGTGAATGAGATGACAGCATGCAGTGACTTTGGGTGTTTTGGGTCTCATCCTGAGCACATCTCCTGGGTTATCGGTGCCTTTTAGTGGATTGGTCGGTTAATCAAACCTTCATGTGGATGTACATTTTATGCTTTTGGAAACAGTTTTACCGAGCAGGGAGCAGCAGCTACATGCTATTAAGACCCAGTTATGGTGGTTTTTCTAAATGTGATATTAAACACTTTCATAAGGTCGACCGTTGGTTTGAATGAGGGATCTTATGAGATCAGCAAATTGTTAGGATGTCAAAAAGTAACAATCTGCTCACGCCTCAAGCTGCTGTTCATACAGACGGATGCATCCCGGAAGAAGTGGTGCACTTTGAGCTCGAGCAGAGCCAACCCAAAGCCAGCCCTGATGAACTCCCAACAAAACAAGCTCATGTGATGTTTGCCACATGGCTGCGGAAACAGATGAAGCTAGAAAGCGAAACTATTGAAAGGGGAAACTTCCCATCTCAAATTTGACGCGATAAAGCGCCTGGAAACAAAAATAAATAAATAATAAATAAGGCTCACCGACTAAATTGCAGATCACTCGTATTAGCCTCCTAACTCTGAGTTAAGACGCCAATATGAGTGAGCTACCAATCGCTTTTGTATTGCAGATTTGGATCAAGTTTAAACCCTCAAACACTGAAATGCAGCTGACGGGTTAAAATACAGACAGGCTAGCGGCTGGGGGAGTTCATCATCATGGTGGGAAGCAGGAGCAAGGAGGACCAGGCAGACATAATGATCATGAGTTATAAAGAACATCATCTCTGATCCCATTATCAACCCTATAATGCCATAAGTATCATATCTGATACACACTGTTTCTGAAATGTTTTGTAGCTGAGACCTTTTGCATAATTTGGTGGTAAAAACTTTGCTCAAAGCCGTGTCGTACTCAATCAGATAAACCTGGAAACAGCGGGCAGAAGACCACACAACAATAAATGTGACTTATAATGAATATTCTAAAATGATTTCAGTTTTTTTTTCATCTGAAAAAGTCTTGTTTCCCAGTGCAAAGTGGTGCTTGGTCTTCTCATTATGTCTGATTGTAAAGTGGTGTCAAAGTAGCATCCGAGTGAACAAGTGAATAATTATACAAGAAAAAGTGGGATGCCATTATAAGTGTGCACCTTCATCTTTCTGTCAGGTTAAAATGATTTTGTGGTGACTGTTCTTCTTTGACCTGTTTGTTTTTCAGATGCTGCACAGCCACTGTTCCCTGCGCTCTCGAGTCAATCAATGATCCTTTCAGTGAGATCTGAGGAAGCTTAGGAGGCGACGGTCGAGAGGAGAAAAGGGAGAAGGTGAATTAAGGACGAAAGGCGTGGACGGTGACCAGATCTCACTTCAGCTCCCGTGTATCTTTTCTCACCACTCGCTCAGGGATGGTGACACCAGTAGTCTCTTTTCCCTGTGGTGAAAGAACCTGCTCTCCTTGTCCAGCGTCCCCTGGAAGCCAAACCGCCAGTCCGTTTGCCAAACACCGACACAGTCCACAAGTCAGGAGCTCTGCCGCCATTCAGCAAACTATTACCTCACGCAATGACTGCTCTGTCTGAACTGTGTTTAGGAATTCTTTAATTCATGGTAAGTCTTATGATTGATGCTGCTGCTGTCAGCGGCATCGTAAAAAGGTGTCATTTGTCATTGTCATTGTGTGAAGTCAAGTTTTTGGACTTTTGGATTCTCTTTAAACTTTTACTCCTAAAAGTGGTCGGAAATGTCGTGGTAATAATTAAGGCACCTGTCTTTGAGAAGTGAAACAGAAGGAAAACAGGCTAGTTTTTAAAATCTATTTAGTCTGTTTAATATCCCCAAATAGATAGTTATCAAGTGGAGATGGTTTAGGCATCATACACGTTGTATTACATGTTTGATTTTCCAACAAAGTTTCAGTTGGTCCTTTTTAAAAAATGTATCAGTTTTATGACTGACTGAAGTAAAACTGCTTAAGACTACGTGGACCACACTGGATTTGCCGGTCACCTTATGGACAGACGCGTTTGTGGACCTATAATTTATGCCATATTTCAGAGAAAAGTCCTGTCAAAAGACATTGCATCAAACTCAACAGCTATGCAGATGACACTCTGTTTTACAATGCAGTGTGTTGCCTCAGGACTCAGTAATGTTTACTTAACTTTGGATTAGATATTGAGTAATGGAAGGTGTGAAACGGTCAGCTCAGTCACTACAAAGCTGAAGTATTGGACATACTGCTAAAGCTCAGAGAGAGAAACTTCAGTTGAAATTTTAGATCACAATTCGTATCAATCTGATGTATAAGAGGATATCATCTTTTATCCTAGACAAACCATTTAGAAAATGACACGCCCTGTATTTTCCCCTACGTCCCAGCAATATTTGTATTTCTGTCCCCCATTTGCATGTCCTCTCAATGTGGATTTGGAACAGCGTCGTACCAGCGCCGTCGTTTGCATCTGGCAGCTTGTTTTCCACCGGTGCTGCCTGGTTGCCAAATAGCTGACAGCCGTTCTAACAGTCAGGCGACCTTTGCATATTAGGCAGATCGTCTCAGGCTTACCTGCCACGAATCATCGGGGTGGGAGATCACTTATGTCTGCGCTCGAGTGAAGGTTCCTTTTTACTATTTTGAAAAGTTCAATCTAATTATGGCCGTACAGGTAGGACTTCTGTGTTTTTTTTTTTGGTAACTATGACTTTGTTTTCCACCTCTTCGGTGATGCCCGGCTGTTATGTATTTGTTTTTTGTGTGTCATGATGTAAATTTGACCTTGGTGTCAAATGTTGTTGATCAGTTTTACTGCTCTGTTAAATGAGAAGCCCATTTAGGGGGAGAACATGGACTGAGCTATTTTCAGACGTTAGAATAACATCTTGAAGTGGTATTTTTAATCTAGAATACCCTGAAGATCTTTTTTTAAAAGCACTAAATTTGCTTTTGAGGGCCATTATGTTGTTAAAGGCACTTAATCTACAAGGGCAGCACCGCTGGATCTTCACTTTCAAAGCCTCTCTTAGAGTCTGGGAAAATCCCCTGCGATGACCAACAGTGGACCCTCTTGGGTCCACTTTAAAAAACAAAACAAAAAAAACACGGTTAAATGATGGTAAAATCATGCTAGAGCTGCAGTGGATCGTCTTTAATCTGCCCTCCAACGGTCCCTTTGGAAAGCTCTGGTGGACAGTGCAGAGCACCATTTACACACAAAATGTGGAGTCATGTGAGCGGGTTAACTTTCATGAAGGTGAATGCTTGTGTTGTGCCTGTTGCAGAACGGTAGCTTCACCTTTGTTAGCACTACGTAATCTCTTTGCTGGAATGTTTTGAACTTTTTGAGGGTTGCCTAAGCCAAAGAAAGTTTTTTTTTAAAATGCAGAAAAGAAATTATCCTCAATTCTAGCAACGGGTAAAACATTTTTTTTTACATTTCTGACAATTTACTGGCGAAAACAAACATTTATATCATCGTTGCACTGGAGAGGGATGTGCGTTATTTTGAGGATGACAAATAGGGAGGGAGACAACTCGTGTTGTTTTGATTCATTCCTGCTCACCAAAGTAAATGAAGAGCTGGACTAATAGTTCATTACTTTCATTTGTAAATATACTAGCAGGCCATGCGATTCTAACAGCTCGCACAAACACAAAGACGGGCGCGCTCTAGCCGTCACAGAGGCTCAGTCGCAGCACGGAAGCCCATTTTAGACGCAAACAGTAAAAGTATTAGCCATCAAACACTCCTCATCTCCTGCCTATAGCTGTTAGCTGTTCCCTAATCTGAGGGGTAAGCAGGGCAGATAGATGATGACTGTGGAAAGGGCTTAATGGCTTCATACAGATGCTCATATGTTTGTGCATTTGTGCGTTTATTGTGCACGGGTGCCTGTCCGTGTGTAGGATATATAGATGCTGCCTCCCTGTCTGTCTCCCAGCCCATTAAAATGCATGTTTAGTGTGTTTCAAAGCCGAGGGACAGACTTGGGCTTATGCCAGAAACCCTTGTACCAAACAAGGAAGGGAATCCTCTCTGTCCTGCTCGAGTGCTCTCTCTCTCTCTCCCTCTCTCTATCTCTCTGTCTCTCTCTCGTGCTTCATCTGTCTCTTACACACACCCACACATTCACCCATCTGACTGTTATGGTCTTTTGCTGGGTTGCAGAGAGTCAGAAATGAGGAGTAGCCTTCTTTGTTTCCCGTGTCGGGGTGTGATTGATTTGAAGGGTACTGACTGTGTTCTGTCCCCTGTTTGTGTCCATCTGGAAGCCCCTGAGTGTGAGTGGAGTGGAGATGAGGAAAAGGCAGGCGGCTCATATCGAGGCCCCACCCCAGGCCCCCGGACAGCCCCGGCCCAACAACTGCTGCCTCTGCTGGTGCGGCTGCTGCAAGTGTCTCTGGTAAGGACGAAACCACCCCCTTTACGTCCTGCTGTCCGCTTTTCAGGTGGACTGTGGCAAATCCAGGCAGCAAAAGCTGTTTTGAAAGTGTCCTATTACAGCTGTGGGAAAAAAACGCAAACGGCGCCTCAGACAGTGCTACGCGACTACGAGAGGAATTATTTGGCCTGATAGCAGAATTCTGCGGCTCGGCTAACCGCTATCCCGTCCAGTTCCCCACCTGCCGCTCTGATTGTATTTTCCCCTGCGATGCTGCGCTGTTTGCGACCTGCGTGTCATCGCACGGCCGAGAGGCACCCTCAGAGAGCAGGTCAGGACCCCATCGGCGCATTAAAGAAGCCAGTGGACACCCAGGCGGAGCTCAGCCTGGGCAGAAACATGACTCCACATTAATTACAATGCTCATCCCTCAAAGATCGATCCGTAATCAAGCAACTCTTTGCTAACGCTGTCATCCCCTCCCAACTCCCACTTTGCATACGCTTGCTTCCTTTCCTGGATGCCTCTCTTTGCGTCTCGTTCCCTCCCAGCAGAGATTGCAAGAAGAGGGCCAATCCGATTTGACGGGGTTACAGCCGCATCATCCTCATTTTTCTGTTCACGTAGCATTAAATGTGTTTATGAAACACATATATTCACATTTAATTCAGCTTCCAGGGCTCTTAATGTGTGGTGACCACACCAGACGGCCGGCGCGTCGCCTCCTTTCTCCTCTCCGGGGGATTTTTAGGTGTGTCGTCTTGTTTTGAGAGGCTTAAAAATGGATGTTGGTGGGAAAAAATCCTAAAAATGTCCGAAAGTTTCTCATGGTGACCCTTATACCCCTACTGAAGATGCGCTGACAGCAGCCACAGAGACGTAGAGATGAAGGGAAAATGCATTTAAGGGTGAAAACAATGCATCTTGTGAAGGGGTAATCTTTGGCCCAAATATAATGACTTCCTTTATGCAGCAGCTGTAAACAGATCTTATTAAAGAGGACAGTTTCCTGTTGTTTTCCAGACATCTCTGACTCCATTATACGCTCCTCAGGGTTAAGGGCCGTTGGCCCTGGCCTTAATCGTGTTGCCCAAGTTGCGATGCCTCACTTTTGTTCTCTAAAAATTTGATGCAATAAGCACAGGCGTGACTCAAAGCTGCGCATGATTCGGCGGCTCCAGCATATTAAACCCACTTTGCTCCCAGATGGAGCTTCTTTTTTTTTCATCGTTGCTTTTATCGTGGCTGGTGGAATGATGTTTCTGATGACTCAGCCATGTTAGGGAAGTTCCCGTTGGGCCATAATGTTATCGCTGGTTCTTGTCCACTTTATCTGTTTAAGCTGTAAAAACAGGTGTCCTGTTCCAGGAAGTGACCACAGACCCGTGGAAGTGACTTCCCCCCGTTTTAGGATTAATCCCGGAGACAGGAGTTATGTTGTTGTGATTAATTAATGAGTGGCAGAAAATGCAAATGAATGCACATACATCAGAAGTCAGTGTTTGAGCAGAAATGTCAAGTGCCTGCTGTTTTTCCTCGTGAGTTTCACTGAACCAGCAAATAAAAATGTCAGCTGGGATCAGTTTGCTCAGAGGTGACATTTGTGTGCTCGTGGAGCGTTTTACAGAGCACTCTGACGAAGTCCTGGCGTTTGTAATGAAGCGTTTCAGTCCCTATTTTGCCCCCCTTCTTCCTGCAGTCCTGTGAAAATGTACACCTCACAGGGGCTTCTGCATTTTCAGTTTAAAAATTCTTCACGTCTTCCCTTTTCCCTCTTTCAGGCTTGCGGAACATCTCTTTTCGGTTTTGTTTTGCTGTCATCTCGAAAGCTGCGCAGACATAACTAGGGAAGTCCTGAGGGCAGCATTTGCTGCTGTGAAATTCCAGTAAACCTTTCTGCATTAATGCAATCCTGGAAGTGGAAGAACGATCTCTACCAGTCAGTGGAGTTATTTGAGGATAAATCTCCATAGTGCTGTACTAGGTTTCCCACAGTAATCCCTCTCTCATGTGGTTACATCCATTATTGAGGAGTAACATTGATAAACCCCTACAGACTGTTTGAATTACTGAAACATGTTTTGCACTGGAAATTGAAAATATACAAATCCCCTCCAGTCATTATTTGAGGAACATCCTTCAGAAACTGTGGACGGACTGGCCCTGCTTTACTGCTGAAGGCCTTTCAGAGACTGCTTTTGTACCAAATCATGACTCCAATCACTTATTGACATCACCTGTTTGAAATAACAACATTATTGTTTAACTACATTATCCAAAAGCCATAAATAGCCCTAAATATCCCCCATCCCAACTTTTTTTCCATGTTTTGCTGGCCTGAAATGCAAGAAAATGGAAATATATGTCATATCTTGAGAGCCTGCCGCTCGGCATGATAGTCAGATATCATGTTTTCTTTCCTCTTCTAAGGGCAGCGTTTCTCACGTCGTCCCAATATTTTCATATTTGAGGCTTGGAACGGGAGCACGTGCTGATCCGTGTGGGGATGATGCCTATGGACGTACTTTAAACATGTAAAAAAAAAGCATCCTATCACGACCAGACTGCCTGACAGTAGGTCAGGAGCAGCTTCACCGCGTGGCTCCTGAGCAAGGCAGCAGCAGCGGGAGGTAGAGCGGAGCTCCCACAGCCGGCTCGCCGGGCCTGCACTCTCACCGAGAGAGCCCAGTGAATGAAACATTGTTTTTAGGCAGTGAATGGTGAATGCTCTGCTTCTTTCACACCACTTCATCTGAAGTGGTGGCAGCTTGCGGACTGTGCCGCTTCTGTGCCTTTTTTTTTTCTTCTTCTTCTTTCCTTTTTCAGGCTAACACCAGCGTCGGACTACTGGAACGGGCCCAAATAATGACCCCGAGTAGCCTGTGTTTTTGTTTGTTTCCCGTGATGCTCTGGTGGGGAGAGGCCCGACTTTTTTTTCTTCTTTTTTTTTCCACACGGCTAAGGCTTCGGGATGAGCTGCACTCGAAGCAGCGTGAGCTCTCCGTGTCACCCCCCTTGCTTCTTTGCTTTTGCCAAGCCAGACATCTCATCTGACACGTCCGCGTTTGGGGTTGAATGTGCAGGAAAACCTTCAAGGGGGGGCATTTCATCCCTCTCCCCACCCCACTCTGCACCCTCTAACCTCTGCTAACCCGCTGTTCTGCAGGGCTCTTTTCTGGTTGGGGGTGCCTTCTCTTTTCATCCACACATCACATGCAAAACAGCTGTGAAGAACAGCCTGTATATTTAGCCGTATTGTGAGGGCGCCGGGGGGCTGTGGCTGGCTTAGTCCATTACGGCTGCACAATGGGGACTTTTACTAGAGACGGCAAGAGGAAGGAGAGATCCTCCATGGTGGGACGAAAAATAGACCGCTCAGTGTGGACTCGGCAAGTGTGACCGAGCTGGGATAGACAGAGAGGCTACCGCCTTGTTTCCAGTGTTTACATAAAGGTTTGAACTGAAGCGTTATTGTTTGAACCCCAGTGCGATTAACTGCTGGAAGACATGAAGAGAGCGGACTGGAACTAACAGTTCCGTCTCCATGTTTTATCTTGATCAGTTGATTAATTCACTGTGCTGTCTTCAAAGAGCAGTCTTTTTTTTTTAACCCTAAAAGTTACTCATAATACTCTAATAGAAGAAAGAAAATAGTGTAGTCGGGGGAAAAAACCTGGAACCTTTCAATTCCATCGATAGAATATTAACTTGGTGAGAATTTCAACCCTTGAAGAAAAGATTAGTTTTTTGGATCCTATTTTTATTTGTTTTTTTGGCCCATTTTTATCAGGTTCTGATCACAAATAGTGTTTTTTGGGGAGTGCAGTGGTTTTTAAAATATCCCAGAGGTGGGCCTGATGGGCCAAGTTTCTTTTGTTATTTTAAGATTCATCGGTTGTCGATCGACAGCAGCATAAAAAATGTGTATGGTTGTATTTTGGGTGGCTGAAATGGAAGTTAAAAACGGAATGTGGGGATTGTTACATCTCATAAACCGATCATTTCTTTACAAAAGAACATTTTTGTAAAGATTACCGGGTCCATTTTCCTGTCTCAAATCCAACTAATTACTCCTCCAGGTTGTCACCAAATTGACATTTAGATTTAATTTACTGGGGTGGTGTCAGGCCATTAGCTAACAGTCGGGACAGGCCTGCATGTAAAAGTATGTCCATGAAAACGGCCACGGCAGCAGCTTGTTTCTCTCTCTGGATTCTCATCGGTATCAGGGTTGTGGAAGTATTTATTTTTCATCGGCTGCTTCTGAGCCCCGGTTCTATATTTAAACCGCATATCTCCCTTATCTACACCGCTCTGCACTGCGCAGCTGCACACTGCAAATTTGGTTAAATGTGGGCCTGCATGAGCGGCTCCTCTGGCGCTGGAGAGCGGTGCGCAAAGCAGACTCAGCCGACACCACCGCCTTCAGTTAACGCTTTCAAACCACATTTTATGGGCCTTGCCGGGTTGATTTTTGACTTATTTATGTAGAGTTTGCCGTCTGATCGTATTCCCAGAGGAAGATTACACCCTTTTATGTCCTGGGACACTGGAACATGTGAAGCGTTTCCCGGCCCAGAGCTGCCTGGTGCACGCTCTCAGTCTACACGCACGTCGATCGGCGCTCCCGCCGGCCGTTTGTTTGCCTCTTCTGCTCCATGATCCTGCACATTATGAAATCATGATACAGTCAGGTCACTTTGACATTTTGTAGCCAACAGGAGACTGGCAAACAAACTACAAATGTATTCGGCGTTGAACGGCCGATCTCTGAATTAAACCGGCCTAGTTCCTGACACACTCGGTTTGAAGTCGGATTCAAAGTGAGTTAAAAGGGATTTAAACAGCATCCTTTAACATCCTGATGTTTGATTGTTACAGTGGAAATCCTCCTGAGCAAAAAAAAAAATAATTCAGGAAAACTGTGGGGAGTGGAAGAGGTCATTTTCGTACCATGTGATCAAAAAGGGGGTGTTGTTTAAGTGGTTTGACATTAGTTCTAAAACCCAAACAGAGGAATAAGCCTTTGAATAGAACATCAGCCTGTCTTTTCATTTAGAAGGGAATACCGATTCTCTTTTGTGTCTCTTAACTCAGGAACGAAGACAGAATGGAGAGGAGCGAGCGGCAGACGTGCACCAAGATGGACAGCATCGAAGCAGCTGAAGAACAGTGAGTGCGGCTCTCCGCTCGCTTTGCGGCTCGAACGCGGCCCGTTCGCTTTAACCCCCCCCCTCCCCCGCCGGCCCGTGTGCTCGCCCGCAGAAACCCCAGCCTGGAGGACGTGCTGTCGTGGGCCCGGAGCTTCGAGATGATGCTGCGCTCGCTGGAGGGCCGGGAGGTCTTCCAGGAGTTCCTGCGCTCCGAGTACAGCGAGGACAACCTGCTCTTCTGGCTGGCGTGCGAAGAGCTGAAGAAGGAGACCGACCCCACAGTGGTGGATGAGAAGGCCAGGATCATATATGAAGATTACGTGTCTATATTATCGCCCAAAGAGGTGAGAAGCCCTGGGTAACCAAGGGTTATGCTGCAGATCACTCCCCTGTTTTGGGTGTTATTTTTTTCTAGACAGTAGCATTTGGAGCTGGAGTTTGCGCTTCTTTTCCCCAGGTGAGTCTGGACTCCCGGGTCAGAGAAGGAATAAACCAGAGCCTGGCGGAGCCCAGCAACCTGATGTACGAGGAGGCCCAGCTCCAGATCTACACCCTGATGCACCGCGACTCCTTCCCCCGTTTCCTGAACTCCTCTGTTTACAGAGACCTCCTGGCCAGCAGGAGGCGCACCTGCCTCGACACTTAAACTTTTACACCCTTTCGTCATTGCCATCGTACACCAACAAGACTACTTCTTAAACTTCAAATACTACTATGGTGCCAGAAGTTGGGTTTGAAAAGTCTCTCGCTCTGTTTTAACTGAAGTGACTGAATGACATCCAAAAACAGCTGGTTGGTTTTTTTATTTATATTTTTTTAAGCAATTTCTATCCAGCTCCCCGCTGGGGCTAGGTCGGCCTTTGTTGGCTGCTTATTGGTCAGTTTGAGACCATTAATGCTGGCCAGTGATTGTTTTGCTAGCAGTTTGTGCTGTTTGTTTCCTTTGAGCAGCCGGCCCACGCATCGGCCATCTGTTGAAACGACCGACCTGATGGCCAGGCGCCGACTAGTGGTGGACGAGGACTCCTCAGGTGGTGAGGACAGAAAGAGAGAGACACAAAGGACAAATCCACTGTTCCCGTACTGTAATATTTAGACCTCACACTTTTTACCCTTACTTTTGAAAAATTCTGTCTTAATTTGCTCATTTTTCATCTATTTTCAACTTTTTTAAAAATCTGTCTCATTCTTCAGCTTTATTTAACTTTGTTTGACTTTTGTATGTGTTCACGGTCCGAACGGGACGCCCAGTTGTTGATGTTGAATAGGGGCACCTGAGCCCTTTCGACCTGTAGAAGCACTGACTGCATGCAGCTCTCTTTCTCTACTGTAGCTTGACGATATAAGCCGTGGACTGCAACCGTTTCCGAATACCGAGAGGTATTAAGGCAGGGGAGCTGTACCTTTGTCTAGCCGTCTGTGTTCAGCCAGGGGGAAAAAGTCAACTTCTGCCAATTTTAAGCTCACTGCAGGTGTTTTAGGGGGAGATTTAAAGGTGTCTGCTGCAGAGGCAGAGGCACCGACCCGCCCACGCATCCATCCATCCCTCCATCCATCCGCCCATCCACCAGTGCACCTCTCCGTCCAAACACTTTCCTCCCTTTGAATTCTTTACTGGGAGAAGTAAGGGCTAGACCTGTGGTTGGGCAGCTACGTCTTCTTTAACTCAGAAACTTCACACACGCACACACCAAAAAAAAAAAAAAACGTCCCCGCCGAGAAAAATCACAATGCCTTTACACGTCTGAAGAAAAAAAAAAGAACTAAAAAGAAACGGGAAGGAAGAGTTCCGCAAGAGATTTTCTGGAAAGCAACCACAGTTTGTCCAACGATCCCTACCTCCCATCATCCTCCTCCCCCTCCGCATCCCTCCAGCTCAGACCATTACAGCCTAACAAGCACAGGTGCCCACCGTGGGGAAAACACAGCTGGAGAAAAATAAGAGACCCACATTATCTCCGAGCACTCGCCTACATTTTCAGATTCCCGGGGCATAAAAAAACGCGGCTCTCTGTTTTTTTTTTATGCTTGTGCTTTACAACGAGTCGAGCATGACGGAAGGCTGTTTCTGCTGGGAGAACAGTAGCAGATGTCCCGGGCACAGATGTAATTTAACGGGCCGCTGAGCCCTGGCCTTTGTCCGTAAGGCCGCAGCTTTAGACGTCGTGGCCAACGCAACAGTACTTGAGGTTGAATCAAATATCAGCTGAACTGGGTGCCAAACGCAATTTCCAAGATGCTGTGAAGAGATATTTGATCACCGGGCTTTCAGAGCATTGGTCATACCAGTGTGGTGTTCCCTCGATTCGCTAGCGCCCGTTAAGGATGTTGCTGTTTTTTCTTGAGCTAGAGACGAGGGCTGGTATAAGTGCCACCATACCGGTTTGGCTAAGAAATATCCTTGTGACGCTACACACAAGCCTTTGTCATCAAACCCAGAAGGTTTGAGCATGCTGTAGGCAAGCAGTTAGCATGCTTGTGCTAGCCATGCTAATCCTCTCTCCCACTGCCAGCCCTCACACACACACACACACACACACACACACTGGTTTGTTTTTCTAATCTGACTTTGACAGCATGCAATGATAAAGGTTAATGCTAATGTGTGTGAGCCCCGGTTACACACAAAACAAATAAAGGAAAGGATAAGGGGCTCTTGCCAAATGTTGAGTAGATTTTTTTTTATTTTTTTATAGGACGCTGTTTTTTCAAATGTGAACACTTGAACATGAACTTTGTTCCGGGCCTGTGGATCAGCAGTAGAAAAGTGCATGAGTGCAGTCTGTACATTCGTTCTGTCATTGGACGGACAGCTGACCTGGTCAGATTTGTAGTTAGTGCAGTGTTCAAGTGTTAGTGGAACAGTGCTGCTCCTCTCGCCTCCTTTAACTACCTGAAGTTCACGTGCCAAGCTCGGTCCGGGTGGAAACGAAGAGCAGAGGGTGCAGGATATGGAAGTGAAACTGTATGTGGTGCGTGGTGATAAATCTGAGCTGTTTGAAGACCATCGTCTCGTTGTTTCTCGTGGTTTTAAACTTTCGGAAAGTTGTCGTTTAAATGGGTCGTTTGCAGGACACCTGAAACGTTGCTAGCGTGGACTCATTTCTGTGACTGGCTGCCTGTGTTAGCACCTGCACGTGTTACTGGAGAAACTAGATAAGGGGGGAGGTTATTCAGTTTATCCGACAAAAAAATGGATGGATAAGCACCCACGGGGTGTTCTTTTTAAAGATTTTCCTCCAGAAATAAACTGCAATGCTATCTTGTCTGTCACAACATTTTAAAAGCCACTTGTTGTGATTTAAGATTAGAAGTCGTCGTTGTAAATCAGGAAGTTAAAACCAGAACTAAAACACACTCTGTTTAACCTTTGGCAATACAGCACTTGGATGCATTTATACCCTCCAGAGCTTGACTGATACTGCTTGGCTGCTTTAATCCAGAGCTGTTCATGCATGCGCTCAGTTGATCCGAATTCCGAATTTGCGATCAGATTCTGGTAGTCAAGGTCGATTCTCGCACTTACTCCTTGAACATGTTTTATTTCCAGGTCGCATTTGGACAAGTCTGGAACTTTTTCGCTGTCACTCATGAAGCTCTTGCTGGCAAATTCCTCCTCTGCACAGTTCAATTACGTTACCTTGTTGTCTCTATATATATATAAATAAATATATATAGATATATATATTTAGATATATATATTTGTGTGTATGTGTGTGTGTGTGTGTGTATGTGTGTATATATATATTAATTAACATGAGAATGTTTCACCAGGAACCAGATAACGAAATCATGGTGCAATCAAACCGAGTTTACATTTATAAATTGTGAGATGTGTGTACCTTACTCGTAACTACTCGTAACAGCGGGGAGCTGAAAGCCAGCAGGTTTAAAGCTGGCGTAAATCTCTGAGTTTTAAACTGGGAGTGTTGTTTCAGGAAGAGCGTACTTAGCGGAAAGACAGATTTTCTGCTTATGTCCTTCCCTCTTAATTTATTCAGACTTTTACACAGTGGGGAGGTGTACACTGTTGTTTATTTTTTAATAACTGCATTTCAAATGTGGATTTTACAAGCAGTGACGCTGATTTAAAGTGACGTAGAAACATCGCTGAGTTTAGATTTTTATCTTTTATCTTTCCATGGATTCCGAGTGAGTGAGTCTTTGAAACATGGCTGTGGCTTTATTGACTTTAAAAATAATTTAAAAAAAGGTTGAGAGCTGAAGTATCCCACCAGGATGGAGGTCTGCAAAGCTTTGGCCTTATTGATACTTTTTTTTCTTTCCTTTAAAAAAAAAAAAAGACAAGCAAACGTCTCTGTAGGCTTTTCACTACCTCTCATGTTGGTTCATTTATTTCACATCTAGTTGTCAATGTACAAGTTGTTTTTAGATCTACTTGAAGCCTAACACTGTAAACAAAATGTGCACAGAGATGACTATGTATATGACCAGAGGGGCTAAAGAGAGCATGGCATAGTCAACATTTCTATTATTAGTATGATTATAATAATAATAATTATTATAATATTTTGTTTGTGTGTATGTTTGTTTTTATTTCTGTTGAGCTAAACTAGATTTTACATCTCTTTAACAAATTCAGGAATCCACTGTTTAAGGGCTAATCCCATTTTTGCCTATGCAAATATGTTACTGTGGGTGAGCGAGGAAAGGGCGAGCTACCGCGCCTTTCACCAGTTTTAGATGGACCGTGGTTTACATTGCCCTTTGCTGATATTCTTCAATCTTATTCAGCAAAAATGTACGCTTATTTTTGTTTCTATATAAATATTATATATACATATATATGATATGTATGTATATATATATATATATATATATATACATACATACATACATACAAGTAACATACAGAGTAAATAGTATTATGCCTTGATTTAAAAAAAAAAAAAAAGAGTCCTTGCTGAAAACAAATAAATGTGTTGTCTGACATTATGTGACTGTGTGCTGGAGTCTTGGTGAGATAGATGGCTGGAACTCGGCTGACAGATGACTGTCAGAAAAGTTCTCATTACTCAGGCAACAACACCAGTAGCTGACCCGGTGCAGTATTGCCTAACAGATAGGGGTTTCATTTAAGGACTAACCACATCAGGACTTCACTGACATTGTTATCCAGCTCCCGGTCTGCATGGAAAACAAGGTAATTGGGCCAAACGTGATTTACCCTTGCCTGTAACATTATACCGTAACCTTTGCCAGACAAAGGCCATTGTTGCCATAGGTGATATTTAAGGGTAGTAGATTAAACATTGTGCTGAGGCAGCACAAGTACAGTTAAGTCATAAAGTCGGCAAACAACTGAGTTTACTGTGTATGAGAGTCCACTTGTTCATGAGAGCCAGAGCTATCTTTTCTTTCATTCAGGAGTTATATAGTGTCACTTTGAAGGGCTGAGATGAAGCAAAACTGGAAACAAGCAAGCTGAGTCAGCACTGGTTATCCGCCTTTGACATCGTTCCCGTCCATATGTGACACTCATTCATTCATCTAGTCCCGGAAAAAAAAATCCGCCTGCTGTGAAGGGTTTCTCACTTTTCCCTCCTTGTCTTTTTGTTGTTTGTCGGTGCACATAAGTTGTGAAATTGTAAGAAAATGAGTCCAGTGCAATGCCGTCAGAAAGCAAAGGCAGCCTATTATTCTGTTCTTCTACTTTTGCTTTTCGTAGCCACGTCCGGTCAGACCATCACTGTGTTGACACAGTAGCGTTTATGTGGAGCCAAGTCGGGGTGTCATTTTTATTACCACTGCAAGATTTAAGAGGAGTCTGAGTTTTGCTTATGGGACCGCTCCATAGGCATGTGTGGGTCAGTTAGAGGTCCAAGATTATTTTTTGATTTATTGTTTTTTTTTTTCTAGGGGGTAGGGGGCAGAACATTTACCTCCTCACATGAAATGTTTAGTGTCTTTTTTTTTTTTGTTTCCCCACAATAAAGTGTGGCTAAAGGACAGAGGTGCCGGTGTTCCATCCGTTGGGTATAGTGCCTCTTTAAGCTTCACGACAGACCTCAATATTTCCTTCTCTGTCTCACACTCTGTGTCTCTCGGGCTCTCACTTCCTCTCTGTGCTGTCACGCTCACGGGGCTGTTAGTGGCAGCCAAATCCGAAACGGCTGGCTTCAACAGCAAAAGAATCACACCAATGTTTTCTTTATTGGACGCGAATACCAACAGCATCATATTGTCTCTTTCAACCTCCTCCAGAGGTGTTTGTGCTACTTTGGGAAAGAGAATATGTTTGTGCCGGTACTGCTAGGAGTTGGTAATCAACAGTTTTAGGCAATCACTTTTCTCTTTATTGATTTAGATGCCTAAGCCTCTCGTTGTTGTCATGCCTCTGTAGATAAAATCGCAGTCATTGAGAAATGATCTGCTGTTGGAAAAAAAAGAAAACCGTCACTTTAGACAGTTCAAAAAAGTGACATTCTTTTCTATTCAGCATGCTTTGTGCTAAATAAATGAAATAATTCAGTTATTTGCTATAAACGATACTGTATGAGTATGTATTCAAGTACTGCAGTTTGCAGACATTTAAAAATATGAGAAACTCTTTTAAGAGCTTCACATTTTTCTCTAGTATGTTTGATTAATATTGACGGTTATGGGTATTTAATTCTTGTTTTAAGTGTCTCACAAAATGCCAAAATGACTAAATTACCCTCTTTGTATTAACAATGGAACATGGTTGGTCATTTAAATGTGCATGACTTACAGGAAAACCTTTCCAGAGCAGCGCGGTTTGGTCCAGAGTTTGGTCAGTCGAGCTTTTTCATTGTTGCCTCAGACCTTTTTAAGGATGGCAAAATCCAGACTTTTTACAATGTGCATTAAGGCAGATGGATTCTGGTCACCGCTGGCTCTCAGGGTGAAAATGGAAGCGGAGTGAAACAGTTTCAGAGTGCGAGGCCTCCTCTTGCCACACACCTCCATGACCTCCGTTTTCACACTTAAGTTGCAGAACGCTAGTTTTTGTAGAGAATTCACTTGTCCAGTTTAAAGAACGTAAGAGTAACTGGTAATCCGTCCTGAACTGTAGCATCAAAAACACTCTACTCGTTTCATCTTTTTTGCAATGTCAGCCTGTCAGCGGCGATGCAGATAACTGAGCATCAGCCTTTCATCTGTGTTATATGTGAGGTTAGGATGTGCTATTTATTTACAGTGTGGCGCGGAAATCTTATGGAAATGGCCATTTAGGCTACAGGTGATTTTTTTAAGTAAAACATACTATTAGAGGCCAAAAGATGAACGACAAAGTCAGCAGCTTCAAAACTTTGTCTGGATCTGTCAGAGAGGTAATTCTTTTCCTGCCATTGTAAAAAGTATTGTCAGGTATTGTATCCTTTACAGAAAATACAGTAGATCTATGAATAAGTACAGAACGAGGCTTCACAGTTTCACCTTACCAGACCTAACTGGCCATTTCCTGCCTGAGCTCAGCCAACCATCAGCTGGCTTTAACATTTTCTTGTTAAGGAACACAAGCGTACTTGCCACAATGTGAAGTTATCCCTCTGAGAAATGATTCACTAAATTGTTGAAGGATGTTTAACTAAAAGAAAAAAAACATGGGAATACCTCAATTAGATTTAATGTGGTCACACAGGACTTTTTGGGTGGGAAATGTGCCATATTGATGATCTGACATTTGTTTCAGTGAATGGAAATGGAAAGGAATGAATTGGATATTAAATCACAAGCTCTGTACGATCCTGGTGAAACACGTTTTGTTCCGTGTCTCATCACGCTGCTGTGATGTGCATTTCTTCTTTCTGAGCCATCCGCGTGCATCAGCATTTAATCCACGAAGCTCTGTTCACAGGTCCTGAACATTTCGCGACACACTGGACGCCAGTCGATCACAGCGTGTGTGACGCAAACTGCAACCGTCACGGGAGGCTGCGCACTGTTTTCCATTTGTTTCAAAAGCTGAATCTGATGTTTTACGAACAGAAGCCTTTGTCAGTTACATGCTATCTCAAAAGACACAAAAATTGTCGCTTACCAGCCTTGAACCTCATGTAAGTTAGTGTCACGTTAACCGAGTGCCCATGTTGTGGTACATTTTAATCTACTTATCTTTTGTGTCTGTCTTTGTTTACATCTTGCGTTAAGAGAGACCTACAGTCTATGGTAACTGCCCTTGAATATCCATAATTTAAATAGTGCTGCTAGAGAGAGAAATATAAATGTAAAAAAACATCAAATAAATACTACATAGATTTTTGCCAAATGTGACTGTGTCTTTATTTGATTTTATAGTTCTACAAACCTTGTGGGTTTGCTCCATTTTTGGGTCTTACCTGTGATAAAGCATGTTATATCAACAGTTCAGAAGTTACCCAATATGACTTTCCCTCAAATTAAGTAACTATCTGTCTATCTAAATGGCCGGACTTTGCAGTTTCATATCTAACACTTTGTGTTCCCAAAGGCAGAAATATACAGCCCTCTGGCCACATTTCACGTCTGCCCATTTGGTTTTCTTTGTGAACATCAAATATTGTTCAATTTGACAGTTTCCCTTCCCATTTTGAGCTATGAATGGAGGCAGACATTCCACGTTTTGCTCATTTCAGGAACATCTATGCCTGTACGTTTTACCAGATGGGAAGTTAATGCACTCCTCGAATTAAAAGAAATATATTTCACTAGAGTGTTCCCAGTTCTTCAATTTAAAAAGAACAACGGATCCCAAAAAGGTGAAGGAAGTAATGTTTAGATTAATATTGAATTATGTAGTTGTAGTGTTCTGAAAAGTAACAGCTTGGTAATAAAACTGGACAACATAGGACTTTTGAATATCAGATTTTTGAAATTTAAGGTTTAAACTACAACCTTGTGATGTAAAAAAAGGTTTTGGATACATGACCTTATCAGAAATGTTCGCTAAAGAAATCTAAATATTCATCATTATGGCCAAATTCCCTTAACCTTTTTTTGAACCCTAGCTATATTCTTATGTTTAGTAGCCTATTTTTTGCCAGATCCCAAGTTAAAAACTGTACTGTCAGCTTAGAACGTAACGGGCAAAGCATCAAAAGTTTGAGGTAATTAGTACATTTGAAATGCACTTATCTTAGTGAAACAAGATTAACACATCTGAAAATCATGGTGGAAAACAAAACTTGAGCTCAAGTTGCTTTTGAATTATTCAAAATCATAAAAGATTATAAAAGATAAAGCATTTTATCTCTTGATTTAAAGTGTCCTGAACTCTCCCAAATCTATGTAACATTAAAGTCTATACCTGGATGAGGACGAAGCTTTCCACCATGAACACTTTTTTTTTAATTGGAGAAAGACAACAATCAATCATTTAAAAACATATTTATTTCCTCATCCAGATCCAAGACCATGATTTTAGACTTTACATTCAGACAACTTGGTGAGACCACATGCTGAGGACGAGAGAGTAGGCAGGCTTGTGTGCACAGGTGCTCTCTTATACAATCGTCTGTATGCGTTTGTATTTACCTTCGTACAGTTCCGTCTGTACATGTTTGTACTGCAAGTGTGGGCACTCCCATATATATGTATGTGTGTGTGCAAATGTTTCCCGCCTCTCAGGTAGTCTTTTGATCGCTGGGCTTTGGGGCCGGTGAGTCGGATTCGGAGTCCTCCTGGGTCTCATCTAACCCGCGGCCGCAGCCCTCGTCGATGGATTGCGTGCCGTTTCTCACTGTGGCAGCGCCATTGGAATTGGTCGCGTCTATACTCTCATATGGCTCTGATGTCCACTAAAAGAGAAAGGAGGGAATACAAAAGTGCTCTTTAGTTGGTTCGCCATGTATGACGTCAAATGTAGTTAATCCATCCATCCGTCTGTTTTCATAACCGCTTATTCCTAAATGGGGTTGCGGGGGCACTGGAGCCTATCCCAGTGGTCAATGGGCGAGAGGCGGGGTACACCCTGGACGGTCACACAGAGACACACAAGGACAAACAACAACACACATTCACTCCTAAGGGCCATTTGGAATGTCCAATCAACCTAACATGCAGGTTTTTGGACAGTGGGAGGAAGCCGGAGAACCCGGAGAGAACCCAGGCGGACACAGGGAGAACATGCGAACTCCACACAGAAGCGTCCCCGTTCCCCCCGGGGACTGGAACCCAGAACCCTCCTGCTGTGAGGCGATGATGCTAACCACCACACCTGTAATGTTCACTTGTTCTTAAAATCCGCCTTGAAGAGAGGACAAATCTGTGACCACTTTGTGCCTGTCCGCTGATTTAGGCCTCTTACCTGTGTGGCTCTGCTGCTGGACCTGTGGGAGGGCCCGATGGCAATGTTGACGCTGGATGAGGACTGTGTGTCGGTGGTGTTGCCCCCCTCGGCGGCCGACAGGCCGGAGATGACCAGGCCGCTGGAGAAGCTGCGCTTGCCGAACAGAAGGCTGAGTGTGGAGGAGGACGAGGAAACCTGAGGGATGACACCACAAAGGGGGACACATACCAAGGTGGGACGTGAGAAGGCTGGCTTGTTTTGTCGTGCGAAAAAAAACTGTTAGCGGGGTCAGCACCTGGCTGGAGCGCTGCTGGTGCTGCGCCGTCTGGTGCTGGGAGCCGATCCCCCCCGCCCCTGAGAGGTGTGGGACCTGTGGGAAAAGAAACCTCTTCACTCCCGTTTGCAAAAAAAAAAAAGCTGCGTGTGGCTTTAAAGCTGTGGGAGGAAATGGCTGAATACCTGGGAGAATATAGAGGCTATGGAGGTGTTAAAGGACAGCTGACTGTTGGAGAGACGCTGGACAAGCCCGTGGGTGGAACCTGTGTCCAGAATAGGGCCCGACTGGCTGCTGACAGGGGGACGCTGACCCTGAGGCTGCACTGACCGGCTGCGGTACTCTCTCCTTCCTGAAAAAAACAAACAGAAACACCCGGAGATATGCATGGTTTTACAGCCAGAGATCCAAACCAATATCATAAAATATCACATCAAAAGTCAACACGGAGGCTGAAAGGTCTAAATGTATTTCTTGTCTGTCTTTATCAAAGCTATGCACAGCATTTTCAAGAATAATGTCAAATTAGTTTGGCACCCATAATGTGGACTGTACCGTTTCTTAACTGTTCAAAAACAGGTTTTGACCAAATTAACACAACTTGATCTGTTGTAGTGTCCCTTTCTGGTCAATAAACCTTTGTGGTTTAAATCAAAATGTTGTCACATGCGGTTTTGTCTTTAAAACTGTCTGGCTGAGGTCGTACGTATACACGCGTGCGCGCGCGTTGTGTACCTGCGTTGTGGTGTCTGTGGCTGTGTGTGGCCCTGGTCCGGTGCTGGTAGAGGCTCAGGCTGTTGGAGGTGACGGAGGACGGGCGGTTGTGGCTCGGTGGGGACGAGCCACCTGCACCGCAGTCCACATCCTCCATGTTCACTCCACTGTTGCAGCTGGTCAAGTTGTCCTTACGCACCCTGTGGGGAACACACACAGATGCACGCACACACACAAACACACACACACAGCTCTGATTTATCCATTCATGCGCACTTCACCGCCAGAGATGTAAAAGGGCAACAGGGCATCAAAAATTAAACAAGCTCTGACTCTTGCAGCTGGTTAGATCCACTGGCTTTGACTCACAGAGAGTGATGTTATGTAACTGTGTTAGCATATGTGACAAACACAAGCGCACTCTTCCTCTTAAATAAGTTAAATGTGTGCTGGCTGACAAAGTCTAAAGTGCCTCTTTAGCTTCTTTAATGCTTAGTCAAATTAAGACAACACCTCTAAATGAGGTCCGCTGAAACAGGATTAACAGTCTAATCTAATCCGAAAGGAAAACTCTGCCTTTAAGACGCTTAAAGGAGAACTGCTCAGTTACAAAGACACGAGCCGTTCGCTGACCGGTAGAGGTTAACACAGACGTATCAGATCAGATCTACTGAAGCCGAGGTGTAAAAGCGGAAAACAACCCATGCTTTTAGCTATATTCGGTACAGCATCACCACAACAAGGAAACAGAGTCTGTGGCCGATGCAAAGGTTACAATTTTCAACACAACATTTTCATAAGTGGAAATGAATGGTGACAACATGAGTTAAACACGATCAAGAAGCGTAAATATGCCATGAGGACCAGCTCATGGAGAAAAAGAAAATCAGCTTCTGCACAACCGCTCCAAATCTTGCAGCAAAATTGTCCACACAAACGCTAAGTAGCAGAAACTGGTAAGTCTGCCACAGATGAGGACGCTGCACAGGAAAAAAAACACGGTTATGATGTGGTGGAAACACTAAACACCATCCATCCATTTTCTATACGCGCTTATTCCAAGTAGCCTCGCAGGGGGGCGGATGCTACCCCAGCTCTCATGGGGCGAGAGGTTTGGTACACCTGGGACAGGTCACCAGTCCATCAGTGGACCGCACAGAGACAGGACGAGACGGTCACCTCACAGTGTTGTTGGATGGTTTCGGGTGGAAGCGTGCACCCTAAACTGCAGAGTACAGCGAACTTATACTAAACATTTCGTCAATTTAAAATGCTTATTTCAAATCCAATAGCTGACATCAGCTTGTGGCATCTCAGGACACCTGACTGAAAGGATCATGAACATATTCCCTATACAGATACGCTCAACAGTCCATTATCCTATACATATATCAATTAGGGAATGATTACATGAATCTGAGGGTAAAAAATGTACTGACCGTAACCACTTAGAGCAGAGCCAGGAGCGGATGGCGTCCAGGCTGAAAGCCCCTCCTCCTATGCTGCGAAGCGTCCGGTGTGTGCCGGCGTAGGACGTCGTCAGTGGCGACACATACCTGGGAAGTAAGAAACAAACTTTGTTTGAAAATGAAGGGATGGACTGGGACAGCGTGCGTCCGGCAGCGGGGCTGTTGACCACTCGTACATGGGGTATCCCAGCGGCTGGTCGCAGGACGAGTTGACCATGTTCCTCAGCGCCTGCTTGGAGTTCTGGATGCTGCCGCGCTCCGGGTTTCGGTTGCGTAAAAACACCAGTTCCTGCTGCTGTCCCGCCCACAGGCCTCGCACACACTCCTTATTGATCTGCAGCAGGAAACGAGTCCAGTCATGAAAACATAGAAGTGTTACTGTCAAGAAAAACAACAGCCACATTGAGGAACATGGAAAAAATCATATTTGTAAGCTTGAGTCTCATTCTCTCATTCAGTTATTTAGTGAAGAAGGGAAATCCCCACAGTCTAAGGCTTTTATGAAGGTATGTAAACCTTTTACCAGATGCAACAAAAGAAAAACATCCAAATTTTCAAGTTTTTCTGTCTAGTTTTGATATTAATCTGTAAGGTGTTAGAACTCAACAGGTAAAGAGCACTTAAGAGAGTAAGAGTCTCTCATGAGCAACAGGACAAAGAATCAATTGTATGTACATCTGATTACAAATGCATGCATGCTAAGATGCTAAACCTCAGCAAAGGGAGAGTTGGAACAGATAAAATGACAAAAAAATGGATGCTATCATCAAATTCAAGATGAGCTAAAATTAGTCATATTTAACATTTTGGCTCATCAGACTGTCAGATCATTGCATTCTGTTTTCATTTATGTTTCAAACATTTTTCCTACATTTTGTGGATTATAATTTCTTACCTGTGATTTCCTGTTCTCCCAAATTACACAAAAATAACAAAAAAAACACTGTTTTAATGATTGGTAGAAATGAGATACCGCAGCTTAAGCCTCAGTTTAAAAAACCTTACCTAAGTTTTAAAAAAAAGGAAGGGTACACAGGTAATGGCAATTATATTAAATCCATTTCAAGTTAACTAACTCTTCCAAGTAATTAGTGAAATACACTTTAGGGCTTGTCTAAAGCTGATTACCGTAAGGGGATTGGATTTTGAGCTTCATTTCATGCACAGGAGACATGAAAGGAGAAAGCAGTTTTATTAAGCTCTTCTTTTTAAACAAATTCTATCGGGAGATCTATTGCATGTGCAAAACGTGTTTGTTCGGAAATATTAAATGGTTGACGGCATAACTTAAACTGTTTTATCTTGCAGTAGAAAGCAACAGGTGCAGCAGCACCAACTACAGCTCATCTTGATGATGCAACTCTTCAGCAGTAGTGGGCAGACACACGCATTCACGATAAACCAGACCGTGTACATGTGCATACCAATTCTAATTCTTACAAATAAGTAACAATGTGTAAAAAGAGTGTTTTTGTCAGGGTAGAAATTAACTTCATGGCCCTCTGAACTGCTTTTATTTTATCCTCTTAAATCTGCACTATTCACAGTTTGTACATGTCAAAAACAGCTAATAAAAAAGAAAAAGAAAAAACATCCAGCCTAAATTCAAGCCAACTCGCTTTCCTGTCAGGTTGAGAGAAAGGCATTTCTTTTTGTTGGTCCATGCAAATACATCTTTTCAATGACCTCACAGCTACCGGTGAGATAAATCATGACCTCAGTAAATCACGTGCACATCAGAAACCCGACTAAACAAACTCTACAGTGATTGGTTTTAATTTCGATATGGAAAAAAATTTCTAGTTTTGTCGTTGTTTCGCCATGCAACAAGTGGTGACAGCGAGAGGCTGCAGAGTGAGACTGAGGACCAAACTCTTACCTTGATGACTTTGAAGCTGAGGTGGCGTTTGTACAGCATGATGATCTTGTACTCGTCCGTGCCGTCGTCGATCATGTGTCTCAGGGTGAGCAGCGTGTCGCGGCTGGACAGCACGGCCTTCCGCCAGGCGGGGTCGCTCTCGTGGCAGATTACCAAGCTGCTGCGGTAGTTTGTGATGGCTTCATACAAGATAGAGGCCTCCTCGGTCTCCTCCAGACATGTGAAGTGATCCTGGAAGGTGTGAAAGTCCCCATGAATCAGACTCATGACTCACGTATGGAGTTCTTATTAGCACATGGAATCAAAGAAGAAATAACAGACAAAGAAAAACACTAAAACTCTCCTCTACAGGGGACATCCATCACCTGATGCAACTTGAGGCTCATTCTGACCGCAGGGGCCACCACCTTCTGCAGGAGGTCCAGATCAGCAAACACCCACTCGTCTTTGGTGGCGATGCGGAAGTCCCCTTTGAACAGCGTGTTGAATCCGTAGAGGAAGGATTCCAGGCTTTTCGGGGCGGTTGTCGAATGTTCATGGGTGAAAATGGAGAAAGAAAAGAAAGGTAAATTTGCAAAGACTGAGTAAATAATGTGGGGTGGATTCGTCAGGATTTAGCTGCTGCTGCCCTCTTCTGGTGCATCTGTGCACCTGTGTGTAAAAAAATATGCTCATATTTCCAGCTCCTTTTGCAGCTTATTATACTGAGGTATGTAACGTGAAACAGTTCCAAAAAAATGTAAAAAACGTTGATTAAAATTCTGATAACTCCTCTCCCACAAAAGGCCAAATTTAACATATTTTACACATGCAAACAAATACCTATTTCCACATATCTTTGATTATTTTGATGCGTAAAACCTTTCCCCACACTCCCTTTCAGAGTCCAGTGGAACCGCTCTGACCCTGTGTACCTGTTGGACATGTTGTGCGAGGCTGTGCCGAGGGACCTCCTCCCCAGGACGGAGAGGGCGTAAGACAGCGTGACCAGGGAGGAGTCTTCGTCACAGTCCACAGGCTGGGCATGAACACAAAACAAGGTTTGAGAAACATTGACAGTGCAGTGATAATAAGTCACTGCAATGCAGCTTTGAGTTTTCTAGTTTAAAGTGACCGACCATGTCTTTATTACAGATTACAATGTGACAGGTTATTTATTGTAGTTTAGGCACCGTACCGTCTCCATTTTCCTCGCGCAGTACTGAATCCACTCTAGGTAGACGTTGCAGAAGCTGGCTCGCGTCACCCCCTGCAGGCAGTGCACATAGTCTTCATCGATCTTCACGCTGAAGACCTGCGGGTCACGCTCGATGTGGTGCCACTTGGTGTAGGACTGCAGCGCCTCCTGAATGGTGGCATCTTTGAGCCACGTGGACAGTTTGGGAGAGTGGACCAGGTAGTAGATGATACTCTGAGGGAGGAATAAACAGAAATAGAGCTAAGAACAGTGCACCTATTCATCCGGAGTCTGTACCTTTAAGTTGTGTAATTGCAATTAATGCATCAGTTTCTGGTTTAACTGCCAGTTAAGCAGCTTGGCATGCACAGCCCGTTGGGACAAGTGGAAAATTCATTTTGAGTCAAATCTAATAACTAAATCTAATGAATCCTAGTTACATTACTGAGCCAAATGTTTTGGATTTGGTGAAGTGGAGCGTGAGTAAAGAAGGAATTCTGAGCAGTAAGAGGGATTCTGAGTGAGGAGCATATGCACCTTTAAGTAGTAGGTGATGAGCAACTTTCGGAGGTCGTAGACTTGCAGCATGGTGGCCGCGTTGTTCTCGCTGATGCTGTAACCCTCCAGCAGGTACTTGGTGGCCATCACCTCCCAGGCCAGCCAGCGCAGGTTGAAGGCCGCGTTGCACGACAGCATGTGAGGCAGGTGGCCCGGCTCACAGCAGCAGCAGCCGTCGTCTTCCTCCACGCCCTCCGTGATGGCCTCCACCTCTCGCTGTTGGCAGTATGTTCCTGGTAAAGACGCAACGGGGGAGGGGGGGGGGCTTATGAGGAAGGCGTCAGTCATTTGACTGAAGAAACGGGGGGAGAGGAGGTCCTACCCCTGAACTCCAGACCCCTCAGCTGAAACGTGACGAGGCCGTTGCCGATCTCGATGAGGTGCACCAGGGCGTTGAGGTAGTCGGAGGCCAGAATGAAACAATCCCCGGCGCTGTAATTGCCCCACCGGCCCAGCATGAGGTCGCCGCACAGTGAATGTTGCAGGGAGCGAGTCAGGTACTCGTAAAAAATTGAGTTTAGGTTGTTATCATCACATCCTGTCAGAAGATAAAGAGACAATATTCTAAGGCTGATACCGAAAGCCTTTGATTTGTACCTTTTGTGTCGGGTGGAAATCGTGAATGTGCTGGATGCGGAGAGGAAAGGAAACTAAAGAAAGATGGAGTATGTTAATGAGTTACTAGCAGTTAGAGAGGGCTCACCTGTTTCTTTGTCCACCTGAGACACCAGCCTGCTGTTGGAGTTGTCAATACGCTTTGTACTAAAAGGAACAGGAGACAGGAGATCAAAACTGCATAGTCACCAAAAGTGATACATCAGGCTGGAGTCCTCATGACGTGTCCATTTGACAAGCGTTGCAAAACTTTCTAAACTTTTCCAGCTCAGATCGGGCTGTCAGAGACATTTACCGTCAGGATTTTCAGTTCTAATTATAACCCCAGTTTGCACCAAAAAAAAAAAGCTGCAGGAGTATTTTTGGAGAGCTCTCTGCAAAGGAGGCATCAATAATTAAGGTGAAACAGAGAGGTTACGCTGTTTGTTTGAACGCGTGGGCGGGATGCCGACAGAAATATACAGTTTCACCAACACTGAGCTGACAAATGACAACAAAGATGTCAAGTCACAATATTTTTTCTTTCCTGACGGATAAATCGATTGGAAAGTGAACACCGGGACGAGTCCAAAAATATGTTGTCAAATTAAAAAATTAAGAACACTGTTCTCCTAAAATAGCTGAGGGCTGTGGTTTTTAACAGAGCAGAGACTACTCAAATAGGACCGCACGGATTGGAGGGGCAATTCAAATAACCGCTTACAGTAATGAGCAAATAGAAATGACTCATAATGTTTTATAAAGCTCACGTCAAAAGACTATAGAATAGAGATGTACGCTATAGAAGGCCAGCTGACAGATTTCCTTCATGACAGTTCAACTTCATTGTTGATTTGAAGCCTCAAAAGATTTAGTCAGTCTGGCCTCGTAGTCATGTGATGTTTACATTGATTAACCCTGGCCTTACTTGTAGTTCCGCTCCCAGAACTTGATGGGCCGCGGATAAGACGAAATGAAGATGGCACTGCCCAAGAAGGGAGCTAATGGAGTGTAGAACACCGTGGTGAGCACCGTCTGGAGCAGCAGCATGGCTGAGTCTGGACACGCACGACAGCAGTCAAGGAGAGAAAAGCAGGCACTGGCACACTCTCACACACAGCTGCGCGCGGCGCAGGGGGAGGATACGAGGCACGGCGAAGGGCTGGGCGAAGGCGTGGAAGGCGCTGCCCCAGGCGATCTGCCACGGAGCGATGTAAACCAGGATGAAATGGAGTTTCAGCAACAGCTCGCGCATCTGCACGTGAACAGGAACACACAAAGACTCACAGCGGTCATCAGGGGTCACCTCCGGGCAGATTCCATTCAGTCGGCATTAAAAAACTCAAAGTGTCAGCACACATCTATGAAGTACAGCCCGACCTTCTCCGGAGTTTAAGTTTAGGTGGCAGAAGCATTCAGGGCCATTCTCTCAGACTTGGGAAAACTATCGCAGAACATTAGAAGGGTTTTACAAGCTGAGTGGAAGTCTGGGAAGAGTAAACTGGCCTCTGGTGTAAACATTTTTCTTTTCACTTTCAACAGGTCAGACATAAATCCTTATGTCAGGGGTGAACCGGGATTCTGACCCCGAACATTGTCATCTGTCATGTGACATTTGTTTAAAGAGTTCTAAGTGTTTTTCTTATCTGTGAACACGAGAGAGGAATATTTGATTTTTTCCTTTCACTTGTTTTGTTAAGTGCGATCACATGTCCGCAAATCCAAAAAATAATTGAATGAAACATACCATCCAGTTAGGGGCAAATATGGTATTAAGTCATTAAAAATGTTCACATAGTAAAGATTTCAGCATTGTTCCCATAAACTCAGCACATTTATGATTCACTATCTCTTTATGCCTGACTTCAAAATATGTATTTACCATAAAACCTAATGAGCTACACTTTGAGGAATTATACACTCAAGGTGCCTGCTGACTAGCCCCCACTGTATGCAGATGCTGTCTTTTTTACCTTATGGAAAACAATAGACATGATGAAGAAGTCCAACAGGAAGCTCTCAGAGGCCTGCGGACAGTCGAAGTGGAAAAAAACAAGCGTGAAGAGAAGAGTGAGGAACTGGAAGCTTGGATCACAGAAGGACGAACGCAGGAGCTTCAGTCCGGCGACCGTGGTCAGGAGAACGTCACAGCTTGAAGAGCGAGAGAAAAGATAAAAAGTGAACAGGCAAATAACCTCTCGCTCAGACTCTGGACATTGTGCTTCTTGTTTTTAGGCGTTTCGCATGAATTCACTCACTGGATTCCCAGTTTCTTGCGGTGACTGAGGGCGAAGCCGTCATTAGTGAGCGCACTCAGCACAATGGCAGGGTAGACCACATACTTCTCAAAGCACAGGAGGCCCACGTACAGGCGCTCAAACCACATCAGCACAGCGTCCTCTGCGGCACACGTAAGAGAGAGGTTTGTCAATCACAGACAGAGTTCAGGAGGAGCTCCTCAGCAAAGGAAGCCACACCGAGGCATCCATCACTTGACCATTTTAAATAGCTATGCAGCAGTTTTGCAAACCTCTAGGTTCAAACTGGTAGTACTCCTTGGTTTTCAGAACTGGATGAGAAATCCACAACCAAGGATGATGCTTCCTGAGCTGTGGGATCAGGTAGTGGGTTACAAACCCAACCGTGCCAGCCAGAGCGTACAGCACGATGGTCACAAAAGGCTGCAGGCAAGGTGGCAAACACAGGAAAAAAGACACGTTAGACTAAAGATGTGGAGTTAAGAGCAAAAAGCTGTGCACAAAAGCATGAAACAAAGGAGAACCTCACCTTGAGAGAGAGGAACACGGTGCTCGCTGTGATGGCAAAGGTTAGGATGTAGGCAACAGAGCACACGATAATGTCCGACAGCAGAATCTCCTTCTGCACAACAAAGGGGGGCGGAGGAGCCCCGATCACTCAGAATCCAAATCAACATTTCAATTGTGTGATTATTTCTGGCTACTCGCTGTTTTTGGAAATGAAAGATACCACATGTTACGCAGCATTAAGACCCTCACAATGCATATCAACACTATGAGAGGTAATGCCAGGCTTGGGTTATCTGATGCACACACAGTAATCGACTGCACACAAAAACTGCCTTTTATCCAGCCTGTTCTGTCTCATGAATTCACAGGCACGCAGTGCTTATGAGTACTGATTGTGGGATGATAATTACAGTCAGCTCTGCTTTGAATTGTTCAATTAATGTTTAGAGGACTTACCATGGTGCCAAGATGCTGTGACAAAAAGAAGGAAACAAATCTATGAAAATGGACCCACAACTAGCAAATGTGTTAGTACAAAAACGTTTAACTATGTCACCTGTCTGAACACTATCTGAGAAACTCACCACTTCAACCTTTATCAATCAATAAGTGACTGAATAAGAACATCCTATTGCCTAACATTTCAATTTTGTTCTCAGAAATAAATATCCATGGAACCATATGAGTTACATTACAATTTTTGTCTAACACTGAATTAGTCAGGTTAGTCTTAAAATGTATTGTACTAAAGCATAAATTGCACATTCAAATTGCATTTGCTAAAGATTTGCTGTAACAGATAGGAGTCTTCATCTTGTGATGCTGATTAACTACTACACAGGTGTTTTTTTCTGGTTTTCACAACTGAATTGCATACATATCTGTGTAAAAAATAAACCCCAAGACTCTCAGAAAGGTCAAACCTGGAAACACTGGCAGGTTTGACCTTACTAACCTTACTAAGGCCACCAAAGTACCCCATCTCTATACTTTTATGATTCATTCATCTGTAGTTACCATTGCGTTCTGCAGTTTTTCAGGCAGGGGGTCTTTAATGTCTGCATCCTGCTCCTCTTCTTCTTCACTTTCCACAAGTGCGGGCATTATCTTTGACTTGATCAGAGATCTTTTAAAGGAAAAAATGTCTATGAGAAGGCTGAAATACAATTTCAAATGATTATAGAAAGGTGCCATTTTTTGAAGACTCTTCAACTATATTATCAGTATTGCTTAAAATAAAGGCTTAAAATGAAATGACTTAAACAAAGAACCATGTTAGTTTTCTCTAAATACCAAAAAAGGAATTGCCATCTTAAGTGAATGTGAAGAAAAGAAATACATTGGGGGTATCTCTGTGTTTCTTCAAGCATGTCCACCGGAGCAATAGCAATCCTCTGCTCTGTCCTTGTGTCAGAGGTTACTGCTGCCTTTCAACACACTGAGATACTCACAGCAGCACAGATGGGTCGCTGCTCTGCCGGCTGAGGTGATAGGAGAACACCACCAACAGGCCGCAGAAACCAGAGAACAGGGCAGGAGTGTGCTGCTCATCCCACGGCTCCTGTGGTCACATACAAACTCGCATCAGTGGGAGTCATTCCCCCCCTCGTGCACTTTTTCAAAGCTGCTGCTTTTATATCTCTGCAGTTTAGAAGCCTCCCCCCCCCCCCCCCCCGCGGCATGTGCTTGTTGTTACATGTGAGGGATGACGAGCAGCGCGTCCCTCAGTGAGACTCCCTCACTGCCGGCTATTTATAACTGATCTACATGCATTTCACTGTCGGCTCAATAAGCAGGAAGACCACAAGGGCGGTTTCAGTTCTATTCTGAGGAAAAGGGAGATGGGAGATGTGAGAGGACCACGTTACGTCTAGCCCATGCTCCCTCCCTGTATTTTTTCCCACCTTGAGAGCGCCGAAGCAGAAGCCGTACAGCAGGGACAGAGCGATCAGGCTGCGCAGGAGGCTGTAGACTGCAGAGATTAGGCTTGTAGCGGCTGAAACACAGAGTAGAATGAGGCGCTAAATACATGGGGTCATTAGAAGCAGTGAGGAAATAAAATCCAAGCATTCGCATTTTGGTCTTTGCTAGCGTATTAACGACATCTGTGGTTTGTGAAATATCAGGTCTACGGATGACTGTCCACACGTGCTGTCCTGGACCAGTGGTATTCACCCACGTGGGTTCAATGAAGGCTCACGGTTGGTTCCAAGTTTTATTTGCTCAGTCTAATTTGGGCCAGTGTGCTCAGTTCAAGCCACTGCAAACCCAGGTGGAACTGGTTCACCTGATAATAGGCAAACAGCTGGTTGTGACCCTAGAGACAAACCCGCAAATCAGGATGTCAGGTGGAACAGGTTCACCTGGGTTCAACCAAGTGGATCCAAGAAAAGCTGCTCATTTTAGTCCCAGCGCCCTCAAACATAATCAGCATGGGTCATTATTATCAAATGTGTTCAACAGCTAAAATGTACCCAACCACTACAAACTAAACCCATAGCCTGAAATCTACATGAAAAAAATATTCTGGCATGAATGCGTCCATCTGGATTCATCTATACAAATCTGTACATTTCTTAAATCAAGACTGAGATAGCTTCAATTAACCTGTTCCTCCAAAGAAGTGCATGTCGATCTGCTCCAGCAGGTAGATGGTAAAGGTGTTGATCTGAGGAAGAAGACCAACCAGGAAGGTGACCGGAAAGCAGTAGGTGAGACCTGTTTAATGCACAAAAGTTTTTTTGTTAACCAACAATAAGCCTGAAAAGCAAAAACAGTAAGGACTCAGTGTAAGAGTTCAGTGATTTGCAAATCAATTCACAACTAATTCCACCTGTTGATTTTAAATGGAGGTTGTTTTTTTCTGACATTCTTTCAAACCTATATGCAAATGAGAGCTGAAGAAAGAAATTTCGACATCAAGTGTTTGCAAACCTGTCTGAAACAGAGCTCTTTCATTATACATATGTATTCCTCCTCACCAACCAGCAGGTCTCGTGAGAAGTGCAGTATGTCATAGCAGACAATGGTGACTCCATACAGGGGGAAGACAGGCAGGTCCTTCCTCCGCAGCAGCTGCTCCAGCAGCCAGATTAGTGCACAGAAAATACAGAAGTAGGCCGCTCGGCTGTAGGCAACCAGCTGGTTGTGACCCTAGAGAAAAACCCGCAAATCAGGACGTCAGCTACAGAGATTCACTCTTCACAGGGCAGTAATACCCACAACAGACAGACATCCAATCATAAACAAGTAGGTTGTGTGCATAAGACGCAACAGTGAAGAGGTAAAGAGGCAGAGCAGCAGGGAGGTGCAACTGTTTTCTGATTTGTAGGATTACTGTAACAAAGACACAAACTCACATGTGTTGGCGAAGCTGCATCTGGCTGAACACTCTGGAAAAACAAAGCCAAAGTACTAAGCCATCACAAGTAAATTAACAGGAAATCAGATGAAAACATCACAGATTTGCACAGAGGACGTGTACAAGCATAAAATAACTGTTTGCTAGGCCACAGAAAACCATGTTTTTTCTCATTTTTCATGTAAGCAAGCTCAGTCTAGAGGAGGTTTTCTTTGGTTTTAACTTTCCTTTAGAGTTCGGCGCAACTGCATGCCAACAGGCATTTAATACTATATAACAGTTCCAAACTATAGTAAACAACATGCATCCTCAACTTTCTGCACAGGTTTACCTTCAGTAAGGAATACTGGCAGCTGGCAATCACCAGGCAGAACTGAAAGACCCAGAAATCTTTGAAGCAGCCATGGTTAAGGAGCACAAAACCCAGAAAGGAAACTAGGAAAGCCATGAAGACTGCGACCAGATTCTCCAGAACATCTTGGTTCCTTTGTAAGAGACAGCACAGGCACAGGCAGAAATATAGGTCACAGCAGCATTATCAGAAGACAAAAGATTCATCCCAGATAACCAAAAAAGGCAAACACTACACAGTGACACAGACATTCAAACAGCCAGTTTTGAACGTTACCTGTCCAAAAGAGCAAGCAGGGTGAGTCGGTCGTATAAAATACTGATCCATTTCCCGGGAAACAGCTGGAGTTTGTAGTAAATTTTTTTGGTTGGCTTCTCCTGAGTGGAAGTCTCCGACGACTCATCCAAAGAGTCCTCCTCCTGACACACAGCAACACAAACCGTTTAGGCCAACGGGAGGTCAAGCACAATGATACTGAATCAGCGGCGCAACTCAGCATCCTGATTTGTCGGAGCTACTATGAGTCTTTCCCACAGCTAGTGACACCTCTGCTGCTCTGGATCAGGAGTGATGTGACAGCGGCTGTTTCCAGCAGCTGCGATGACTCATAACTGTCTCCAGTCGGTCACAGTGGGACCACCAGAAAACACTAATGCAGTTTGATGGTGCCGATGAAGCAGCAAGAGGAAACCCAAAGCAACATTTACTGTTTTGTCATTTGTGATTATGTCTTTTGATCCAGACAAAGTGATCTATAAAAGTCACTTGGATGTAAAAAGAAGCTGATCCTGGAGCAGCAATTTGCACGTCAGGTTGTGTGGATTGTGGGTGCTGGTGGCACGGAGAGAAATAGTAAAAAGTGGACGGACACCTGGAAGATCTCGGGATGGGTCCGTCGTGGACGCAGCCGGTGCGCATGGATGATGCGGCGCTGGAAAGGGCAATCAGTGTGGCCACCTGCTACGCCCTCCTGACACTCCGAGTTCGAAGAGGTTGACAGGAGATCACTAGGGGGCGCACACACAGAGCAGGCTGGTGTTGAAACCTAGAATGAACCTGATCACTCAGCTAGAGTTGGTACGTTAGAGCACTTGAGAATATGCAGGGGGAATAAAGAAAATCTCCATGCAGGTCAAGTAAATGATAAAGACTGTGTGCCATAATGTCCCAGCATACCACATGTTGCCCGTAATGAGCTCTGCTCCCAGAGGCAGGTTGAGCGCCCTCTCTGCATACAGCTTGCGAGGCCTATCTCCTAAACAGAGACGCACAGGTTGTCAGGGCAACAACGGATTACGGGGGATCCGTTTAACTTTACAGTCACACAACTGAACAGTTAAGCATCTCTGAGTCAGTCCGGTAAAAATGCCATTTGATCGGCAAGTCTTCAGAGATGCTAATAAAGTGAAAACACCAGCTCCTGCTAGTTATTGTAGAAGGGATCTAAATGCCACGAAAGCTTCACAACACAGTGACAGATGTCGTTCGTAACTAAATGTTGTTTTCTCTGAACACCTGATCACGCAACTGTCAACTCACTGTGCACAGTATGGAAGGTGTAGGCCTCTTCTTTGTTGGTGGCCTCGGGTCTGCAGATGACCTGCAGCATGGAGCTCTCAGACTGAGATGTCTGCGAGGGGAGAGAATCATAATCTGGATCCTTCTCTCTGTCCGTCTGTGGGCTTAAGACAGGAAAACAACATTATCTGGAGGTCCAGTCTATATATTTTTGTTCAGATTGTGTGTTTGAGTTTAAATTCAGCTGCGTTTTCACAAAAAAAACCTCCTAGCTTACCTGTCAGGGGAGACGATGGGGATGTGTGTGGGCGGTATGGCCTGCAGAGTGTTGGTTGGCAGACTGGTGGGTGGCTTTGGTCTCTCTGACCTGTTCTCAGTGCTGGTATCTGTTTTCGTCTCATCCGACCCAGGAGTTGCGCTCTGTTTTTCTAAGCATAGACCAAACAGAAATGACTGTTTGCGTTTAACTGTTTTATGAATATAGACAGCTGTCAGACAGCTGTGTGGAGAACCAGAAATCCAAACCCAATTCGACAGTGTTATCTTTCGCATGAAGCGAAAATCCCGAGCCACTAATCCACTAATTGTGAATGATTTTCGATATCTATAATCCTGGTTTTTGGCATGTTTACATGAAGAAGGTTGAGTCACCTTCATCAGCAGCATCCGGTTTCTCCTTGTTCACTGGCCCCTCTGCTTCTTTGTTGACAGTATTTCCTCCTCTCGTGCTGAGAGACCCCAGCAGGGACACAAACTCAGAGAAGTTGGATTCATTTGGCATTTGGCCCTCCTTTGCCTCCAGGTCTGATTTGGAGCTAGTCATGGTGGTCTGATGAGAGGCAAACTGAGTTTATACAGCACATGGATGGTGACGACAAAGACAGAGATGCAGAAATAGACTGAAACGTACTGTGTTATGGGAGCGATCGGACAGCAGGACGGCATCTTTCCCGCTGTCCATGCTCAGCCCTCGGATGTGCGTCCTGCCTCCAGGCCCATAGCGACCTATGGTTTGCGGCAGACGCAAGAATCCTCGTGAATCTATGTTTGGATCCAGAGGGTCAGTGTCGTCTGGGTGGGAGTGGACGTCGATGCCTGATGAGCTGTTGTCATTGGTCAGCTGTGGGCTGGGCGTGCTGTCAGTGGTCATCTGCAGTGTGTGATGCTCCAGCTCTGGATCAGGACACCCGAGAGTGGTGGACCCAGGACTGGCTGTTTCCCTACATAAATGGAACTCTTCACTTTGGCTGGCGGTCTTTTGCAGTGTGGCGGCGGGGTCAGCCTCCGAGCCACTCGCTTCCTCTCCTTCCTCAGCCTCCTCCTTCTCCTCAGGTGAATCAAAAGTGATGACGGGGATCTTGATGTGGCATTCCCCAGCATCCTTCTGAGCCTTTCAGAGCACACACACACACACACACACACACACAGACAGACATGTCTCATTAACTTATATTGAAGCGTAACAATGCCTCCAACCTTGGTCTGAGCTTTATTTAGGAACAATCTGCCATCAGCAGTATTGGACTGGAACACACGGAATACTGAATTTGGACCTCTTCCCACACTTGGATGCTCAACAGATGACTTAGACAGATTTTTTTTATAATAAAAACAAGTTTTAGTCCATTTGTAGGCATTGGCAAGAAGAGAGAGACCAAACTTCACGCCGCAGTGCACAGAATATCTCTTATCAAGCAATTAGTAAGTGCACAGACAAGCTGAAATGTTATATTTAGAAACACCAAAGTAACACATCACTGTACTGTTTTGTCAGTGGTGTTGTATAATGTTTGGATAAGATTTTCTTTTACATTTCTGCGTAAATATGACTAACATAAGAAAAGATGAGGTACACTGAAAAAGATATTCTATGTTTCTTAATGAGAAAAATTAACCCATTGGTGAACTGCTTGTTTGAAAAGTATGTGACGTTTTACGTTTAGAAGTTATCATGTTGATTAAGTCAATTAGCTGCTCAATCTTATATTTTCAGTGAGAGATAGATCAGGTTTGAGGCCACATGCCAGTCTACCCTGAAAACAGCTGAGACGTGGACTCATCTGGCCACGGAGCATCTGTCCCCTGTCATTCTGTCCTTCTGAAATGAGCTCATTTGGAGCAAACTCAGGTGTGTGGGGTAGACATGAGGCCTTCTGGTTCTGTTTAAGCTGGAAATTCTGGTTGCTTGGGTGGAATAGGTGAAGTGAAAATGAAAACCCTAACACAAGCTTGTTTGAAAGGTCTTCGGGGTATCTTTTAATACCCAGTCCTGACACCCTCACCAGGTTATCTTTTGATCTTGCAAATCCAATTTTGGCAGACTTTCTTTGCCTAACTCCAATTTTCTGGAGTACATTGTGCCAAATCATACATTTTACTTTAGTTGTTCAATGAGAGCATTGAAAATAATGATATGTAATGCTGTCTGAATTTTGCTTTGACCAAACAGACATGAGAGGGTAAAAGAATTCACTTAAAAAAATAAATACCTGTGCATTCTCCAGAAGGCTTTGTTTGACGCTTTCCTCCAGCTGAGCCGCAGTCTGAGGATCACAGCTCATAGTGATGATGATCTTGACTGTGTCGCTGTTATCCAGGTGAGCTGACGAAGGGGAGCTGGAGTTATCCACCAGCACCACCTCGATCTCATCCGAACAGTATGTCTCTTCAACGGGCTCAGCCTGAGACACAACATGTCCACATTGAGTATAAAGTAATGCTAAACAATTACATGTTTTTTGCCAAAGCACATTTAAAGCTCTCATGTGTAAGCGGGGCCTACCTGTGAGGGAGGCTCTGGCATGTCAATGAACTCATCCTGGTCTTCCTTTGGAGTCTCAAGTGAGTTGTTGTTGGCATCCGAGGTCTCTTTCTGCCCCTCACTGCACTCCTCACTCTCATCTTCGCTTCCCTTGGAAGATGGCAAGCCTTCATCAGCCGTCTCCCTGTCTGCACTCTCTTTATCCTCAAATTCTCTTTCCTCTATTCTCTCCTGCTCCAAGTCTTTTTCCACAGTCCTCTCAAGCTCTGTCTGGTCTCTGCCTTTCTCCGGCAAAGGGCTCTGGATCTCCACCGCTTCCTTCTCAGCTCCATTTTCGGTTATTTCTGCATCCGCTTTTCCGATCTCACTTGCAGACCCGACGCGCGCCTCTTCCCTCTCGGCTTGGGACGGGGGCCTCTGCTGGGCCTGCAGCAGCGGGGCATCCTGGTCTGGATTGGGACTGGAGAGGTCGTCTGGAGACGGATCGGGGGTCCGGTGCGGGCTTCCCTCCACAGGCTGCTCTGAAGCGGTCTCGTACTGTCCTGGCGTGACATGATTCTTATATTAGGGGATTTCATTAATAACAAAAAAATGACTTAAATCTTAAAATTCCTGCCTTTTAAATGACTGCAGTGACAGCATACACTTTAACTGCACTTTTCTGAGATAAAGCAGACCACTCCTTGACCTCTACAGCAGGAAGTCTGGTACTAAAAACGAACACTTATGTTTTCATTCCAAATGTGCAATCATTTGATGCAATGCGCCACAGTGTTTATGTCCCTTTTTTCAATCAGCTGACTTTAGTCTGACTACTCACCCGTGCATTATGTCATAAATTTACCGGAAGCGGTCAGCTGCTTTTGGCAGGCTAACTGGCTTGTTGTTAGTTCGCTGCTTGTCTGAGCATATTAACAACAGTGATGTGTTTGCAGAAAAAGGAAGTTGTCAATTCAGATTCTCTAAGAAACCATTTAGTGCATTAGGGAAGAGGAACCGTTTGGTTCCAGTGAGGACTGACCCTGACAGTAGAACGTATGTGTAAAGCCTCACTTACTGCAATCTCAGGCTGAACTTTATAACAAATGATTAATTAAAATATGTTTAATTTCCAACCTCCTTTAAGTCTAAAAGCCATTTTTCTAGAAAACTGCTCTGCGTCCCACTGTTGTGCTTTTTTTTTGGTGGTGAAAATTTTTGTGCTGCAAAACTGAATCCTTAATTCCAAAATCCGTCCTCAGGTCAGGATCGGATGATCATGGCTCAAAAGTTCACACTGCAGCCTGGTCCAGTTTGATTCCCAGCTTCTTGCCCTTTCCCTCTTCAATCTACTTTTCTGTCCGCCAACTGGTCAATAAAAGCCGCAGTAAGATTCAGTAACTCAGAAAGAACTCTAGGCCAAATATATCCACAATGGCTTCTACAATCACACCCAGGAGATCTATCATTTCTGAAAATCATCTCTGATCTGCAAATAGATCTGCCAATAATCATCACGTACAACAACCTTGACACGCCATCCTCCTTTAATCTCAAAATCGTGTAGAATAAAAAAATCGCCCAATCCCTTAGTGAAGCTAGTGAAACTTAAAACACGATCGCTTAAATATTTCAATCAAACTGCTCTCTTGGTGCTTTTATATTTGTTTTAGGCTAACCCAAAATTAGAACATTCCAAAAACAAATAGCTACCACGGGTAAAAATTGAGGACAAAGTTGACTAAACTCAGTTTATTGATTTATTCCAGCCATTTCAACACCAGAGATAGCAACATTGAAATGGATGTTTAGATGATGGATGCCATCGAAATGAAATTGTGTCTCGTCGTTTGAACAATGGAACAGATGTACTTGTGTGCTACTTGCTTACTGCAGTGTTAGAAAAATTGTTATGAGTGTAACTGTTAATAAAACCAATCATAAACCAAGGGACTCAACAGTTTCTTTGGTGTTTTGCATTCCGCCTCTAATGTGATGCTAAGGCACCCACTTGTTTGTGATGTTGCCTGGACTCCAACATGCCTCATTCTCTGTATGAAGACATCTGGATTGGTTGTGTCTCTGCCCAATCACTGGTCACACATTTACATCTTAACAGCAAAACCAAGTAAATAAATAAATAGAACATCAGCAATACCTTCCACAGTTTTCCCCTCCTCTGACTTTGAACAGTCCTGAATGGAACAGAAAAATCCAGATTAAAATACAAACCCAGTGCAGCTCATGCAAAGTATGTTCATACTGTCCAATTCTTAAATCTGCCCTCACCACTCCGATCAGTCCTGGGTCAGTTTCGGTCTGTTTCACTGTCACCTGGATCACTGAACTGGGACGCTTCCGAGCTAACGTCGTCATGGCAACACTGTCAGGGACTGTGCTGCTCTTTCTAATAAATAAAGATGGAAAATTATGGAAACTTGAAATGAAACATCGCTTTGACAGGATTTTGAGTCATCTTTTTGTCTGGCTATATCAATATGTTTTACACAAGGAAACTAATGTGAAAGGCAAACACACTTGCTCCTGGACTTGTTGTTTATTCTAGTTAAATGAAAGCTGCACTTAGACATCTGAAATAAAGCTGACACTCTAAGACACTCACTCATTTAGCTAATATGATCTAAAAGGAAGACAGGACTGATGCTAATAGACGTTTACAGAGTAGAAATTCAAACTAAAAATGGTTAGCTACACTACTATTATTGGCATTAGTCTAAAGGGAGATCTAAGTCCTAAATGTACATTCCATATTAATAATTAAGTTCTATCATTAGGGATTTAGCCTTCTGGCCTAGTTTTTGTGATGACTGATACGTCATAGCAGCGGTATGAGTTGTAGAAGGCAGAAAAATACTTAGTCGAATATTGATACAGAGTTGTCACCTATTTCTGACCCGTCCCTCCTACGGCTGCTCACCTGATGCTGGCGGGCAGGCAGGAGTCCGAGGCATTACTCTTTTTCTCCTGAGCTTTGCTGAGGTCGGAGAGGCTGCTGCGGACCACTGCCTCACCCTCATCGAACATCAGGTGCAGCCGGTAGTTGGCCAGCTTGATGAGGATGAAGAAGATGGTAATGGAGGTGCAATAGATGCTCAGAGCCATGGTGGTAGGTGGCAGGGCCTGTGGAGAGAGCGGAACAGTTTTATCAGCCTCTGATCAAGGTCTGCGGCACCTCCTGAGAACCCATCTATCCACCCAAGAGCATTTTAAGCTCAGCGAACCACTACATTTGATCTGATGGATTGGTGGGAAGAAAGGCTTAGAGCAAAGACTGTTGGGATATCAGACAAAGCATCTGCATCACGCTGTTACATGAGTCACACTTCTCTGAGGACAATTCTGGCTGTTTTACATGTCTCCAGGAGCAGATCTGGGCCTAAATTTAGAGCCTGGTAGTATTGATGCTGTCATTTCTTTAGAGTCCATAAACAAGTATTTTTAAGAGAAAAATGCAAATGAACCCAGAATTCTTCCACAAGGCCCTATTTTTAAAGGAAAGTTATAAAATGCTTTCATTTCAGAAAGTAGAAAATGATTAATCTTTCAGAAGTGTCACATACATTAGAAAATTATCTTCTTGTTCAGTAACTTCCTACAGAAATGGGAAATTAGGAGTTTGAACCCACTACAGTCACATCTTCATCCATCTGACCTTTGGCAGCAGCTCTGTACTTTATTCATTCAAAGTCATTTCTCTGTTAAAGAAGGATCTCATTAACATAACTGTGTCATTCAGTCCAAGTCACCCATGAAGCGGAAGTCAAGAAGCTTTTAAATAAAACTGTTTCAGTAAACAGTGCACCCATCTCCAAAGCCATGACAGGAGCGTATTTAATCACACTTTCACGCTTTCTGGCCCCACCAGTGACACATCCAGGGGCAGCCATCCGTTCCCTCGCTGCATGCGGGGAAAAATACTGCGACACCCCCGTAATTCTGGCTCCACACATCAGAATACAGTCAGATTTCTGCTGAGCTCTCGGTTGTGCACCCAGCGAGGATGAACGTTACCTACTGCACACCTCACGCCACCCTCGCGGCCTTGAACGTCATGTCCCCCCCACCCCCACCCCCCCACCCCCTGTTAAAACTCACCAGATGGAGAGACAGGGGCAACATCAGGAGGAATATCCACAGATAGAGGTGGCACGAGTTGTTGAATTTGTTCTGGTCGGGGTCGTGGTACCAGCCCCCGGTCAAGGATGCCCACACTCCCTGTCGCAGGGTCTGCACAACCTGGGAGCCCATCTCCCCTCCTCTCTCCTCCTCTCCGTTCAGGTTGAACGGACGGATGGTGATGATGGGGATGATGGGGATGATGATGATGATGCTGCTAGGCTACAATGAGATGATCTCCCTTTAACGTATGCCACCGTCGCTATGCCTCCATGTTGGAGCGATCCAGCACGTCTCCCGGGCGCCGTCTCTCATGCCTCGTCGTTTCCCCTCGGAGCTGTCCTCTCGTTTGGCTTTTCCCATCCCAGTGTCGAGCTCTGCGTCGCTGCCGCTGCCGCGCTCCTCATCCTGACCCGTTCGACTCTCTCCCCCCTTCCTTCCTTCGTCTCCTCCGCCTGTACAGATGCGCAGCTCTGACCGCCCCCTCCCTCCCTCACTCCTCCTCCATGCCTGCCCATCCATCTTTTTCTATTATGCGCGTCCCTCCTTCATTGCTCGGCAAGTGTGCACAGCCGAGTGGTTTTGCACGAGAGAGAGAAAACTGATACTCAAACACAAACGTGCCTTTATAAATATATACATATATATATATTTGCACGCAGTATTTATGTGTGGGTCCAGTGGAGGATTTGTGTGTCCGTGGTGATCACAGTGTGAATATCAGGTTATTGTGTAGCATTGGAAGTGCGCGGGTGTGTGCACGAGTCCTTATATGGTACACTATTCCCATCATTTCCATGAAAGCGTGCTCTCCTCACACATTCCTACAGTGGCTCCTCCCCCCTCCCTCCCCCACGACTGCTTCAGCGGTCACGTGACAGGCAGCCCGCCAATCAGAGCGCGTCACAGACAGTCCCGAGCTCACCAACAGCGTCCTCGGGTCCAGCCACTGCCGCGACCGACTCCTCTTGGCGACATCGGTGGCTAGGTGGGGGGGGGGGCTTGTTTTGATTAAACTTTACGGATTTTCTTTTCGTGGTTTTGCCGTCGCACCGTCTCGCTTGAACCCCAGGATGTTCTGCGCTCTTTTTACACACTATTTAATCAGCCGTTCATCGCACCCCGGCGGAGGGATAAACTTTGGAGCAAGTGGTCTTAAAGAGGAGAAAAGCAACTTTTTTTTTCCCCCGAAACGCTGTACCAGTCAACGGACTGACCTATGCTAAGCTAACCCGCTAGCCCAAAGTCTGGAATGCATTGGGAATTCCCGGTAAAGGTTCACAGAGAAGAACGAGCAGACTTCACGTTTCGCCACACGGCTGCTACATGCACTTTACCAGCGAGCCTGCCGGGGAAAAGCAGCCGGCCGGAGGCTCCGTGTGCGTGTCCAGAGCGGACGGTGCAGGTGCACCTCCCGCGGCACCTGCGGAAACTTGGTAACTTAGCTCCAATCGGCGACGGGCTAACTTTTAGCCGGTTTAACGCAAAAGCCCCAAGCATAAACTGTTCCGAGAGAGCCATGGTGTCCTCGCAGACATAATTTGAAGCCTTGGCCGATACTTCCCAGCTTTATGTCGCTGCTCCACCACCAGCCCGTGGAGTGTGGCGTCTGCTGAAGCGTAATTAGGCTAACTTTAGCCACCAGCAGCAGCCTCGCTAGCTGCTCGTTGACCCTCACACTTTTTCACCGGAGTGGCGACGTGGATAGAGGCTTGTATGCACTCGGTATCTCCCACAGGACTTTGGACACAGTTTACATCCGTCGTGAGCTGCGCAGGGGATCCGTTCCTCCTCTTTTGCGGATAGCCTCGCAAATGTGGCACCGCGATGATTTTCTAAAGTTACGTTTGACTTTTTTTTAAAGTTTAGATTTTGTCCTGAAAGCTCCGCACCCTATGGTGCCGCTACGGCCACCGAGAAATGGATGTCTCGCAGGCCGCTTTCCCAAACGGTGAAGGGCGGCCGGGCGGCGGCGGTGGGACCGGGGAGCATGCCTGGACGGAGTCCCCCACCGGCCGGGCGTGGGCTCACTCGGCCCCACTGTGCCCCACTCGGTCCCTGTGGACGGCCGCGTACGACTACGAGGCGAGCGGCGAGGACGAGCTCAGCCTCCGGCGAGGGGACGTGGTGGAGGTCCTGTCCAAGGACGCCGCGATATCCGGAGACGAGGGATGGTGGACGGGCAAGATCAACCACCGGGTCGGGATCTTCCCCTCCAATTATGTTACTTACCAGCCCGCTATTTACCGTCTCCCTGCGGCTGCCGGGTCGGTGGGGGTCCCGGAGCAAGTCCCGAGCCCTCCCGTCCGGATCCCCTTCGGCGAACTGGTGCTGGAGGAGATCATAGGCGTGGGTGGATTTGGCAAAGTTTACCGGGGCACGTGGAACGACCAGGAGGTCGCGGTGAAAGCGGCTCGCCATGACCCGGACGAGGACATAACGGCCACCGCCGGCAGCGTGAAGCAGGAAGCCAAGCTTTTCTCCATGCTCCAGCACCCGAACATCATTAAGCTGGAAGGGGTATGCTTGGAGGAGCCCAATTTGTGCCTGGTCATGGAATACGCTCGAGGGGGGACGCTGAACCGGGCGCTGACCGGAAGGCGCATTCCTCCACACATCCTGGTCAACTGGGCCGTGCAGATCGCACGCGGGATGCAATATCTACACGAGGAGGCCGTGGTCCCAATTATCCACCGTGACCTGAAGTCTAGCAACAGTAAGCACAGACTGAAGCGTGTGTATGTGTGTGTGTGTGTGTGTGTGTGTGTGTGTGTGTGCTTTGGACAGACTTGTTGAAGGGCCTCAGGCATCTCTGGGACCAGTTCACCTGTTGAACCTTTGCCACATTCTTTATTCTACACATATTTAGCTGTGTTTTCCATGATCTGGTTAGTTTGAACACACTTAAGCCCTTGTTAATTTTTTTTCCTCCACCCCAGACAATCTCTGATTAACAGTTTGGCGCATGTTGCAACTGGTGGTGGTTAAATGTGTCCTCACTGACACAGGGCCCTGTTTAGAAATAAATCTCTGGCTCATTGTTTATTATGATAACGCAGCACTGTTATTACAGCACCAGCCGGAGCTGCTGTAAGCGTGTAATCCACAGAGGTTTCACCACCTTGCCGGCAGAGCGCTGCCCCTCTCCTGGAGCGGCTTCAGAGCGGTGCAGTAGGCCTGCGCTGTATGAAGTGGTGGGGGGATGCCGTCGAGAGGATGTGAACTAAAGTGAAGAGTTTGCTCAGCTGGGCCGCACTGAACCCCCCACCGCATCCTTTTAAAACACACACTCACCTTCCCAGCCCCCTCTCCACCGAAAGCCGAGATGTTGTTCAAATAAAGCCAGTGATTTACCAAACACATAACCAGACACTCTCTGCACACACCGCCGGGTCATGGGCTTAAACAGCCACAGAGTTCGCAGGACACAAAGAAGTGGCACAGAGGACGATGACACTTGTGAAAGTGAGAAAGATGGCTTACCCAGAAAGCCACGTCTTCACAGTTTTCTTACTACTGTCAGCAGTATTGTCTCAAACAGCAAATTGGTGGGTTCAGTTTTTGGGAGCCGCTCTCTCTGTAATAGCACAGGCTCCGCTCGGTTCAGAGCAGCAGGCCTACTATGCCAGTTCTGCTAATTGACAACAGGCCAGCAAACTTTAGTTTCCCAGGACTGAATAATGAATGGACCGGACTCGAGGAGAAAAAAGGGTTTGAGTCACATACCCAGTGACACAGACCACTCACTGCAGCTCAGGTGTGTTTATGTGTGTAATACGACTCCAAACACCATTTCTCCCTTTTGTGATTGGAGACTCTTATCGGCCTGGAGCCATGTGTGGAGCAGCTCTGGTGTAATGATGTCTGTTTATCTCTAGCTGTGAGAGGCAGTGCGTTAATGTGTGTGTGGGGGGGTACATGTGATACACTGAGCAGGAGCTATGGGTCGAGACATTGTGACTGGGTTTGAAAAACGTAGAGTTGCCCTGATGCGGAGGGTCCTGGAAATGGCAGCCAGCAGCTTCAAACTCCCTGATTATCGTTGCATCTTAACCTTGGATATGATCTGCAGACACGATAAAGGTCTCAGACTTTTCTTAAAGTTAGATCTTGTCAAAATCCTCTGCTAACACAGCTTTCAAGCCAATGTCATTTGTAATACATTAGATCCAGGTGATTAAGATTCAGCTTTGTAGCCTTTTAAAACATTTACTATAAACACTGTCTAAAAACAGTTGTCTTTATCCCATTGATTAACTTAGAAACAGTGTAGAGGAGACCAACCCTGCGAGAAGTCTTATTTAAGATGAAGATTAGCGCTTAATTATGGGGCAGATGGGGAGAAAGGATTTAACTGCTGTTTAGGCTGTTTCACTAATCAGATGTTTGGGGAACATACACAAACAGACTCCCCCGAACAGCCACAGTGCTGTTAACACAGGTCAGTGTTTGTTTTGCCAGCTCATTGTGACCCAGAGAAAGTTTAATATTGAAGTAGAGAAGGAAAACTTAGAAACGGCAGAGATTGTCCACAATGAGCTCGCCACAGGGGCCAGGCTCCAGCTAAACTTGAACCTGTCGCCGGATCCAGAAAAGCGTTGGCAGAATAATGCTCAAACGAGGGTCAAACACTGGGGCTGTTCCGGCAAAAAGTGACAAAAATAGAAGCTTTACCTTATCAGCGGTGGTGTCAGTGGCCGCACGTAGAGGAACGTATGGGGTCAGAGGTCTGAACATGAGTCGACAGCATACATATCTGAATGAGGACGGCGGAAGAAGCTGCATGTGTTTGCTTAGAGCTGGGCCAGTAAGTTCACAAAAGACTCTCACACACAAACACTCGAGCGGCTCCCTGGGGTGTGTTGTTTTTGTTTGTTTTTTCCCCACTTGGAGAGCGATGCAGCTCAGGACTGGGCTGGTGCATCTGTGGGCCTGGTGTCCATATGCCTCGCTATTTGTGCATCAGCCAGTTTTAAAGATAAAGGCAGTCAGAACGATCCACGCAGGGGGTAGATGAAAACAGATCAACTGTGATAAGCGGTTTCCCACCAGCAACCTGTTTTTTTTTTTTTCTAATCTAGTTGTTCCGTCCGAGTGTTAACCGATAATAAGCAGGTACATGTGTACAGATGAGGAGCAGAGAAGCTTAATCAACGTTGCTGAACTACTCTGACTTTCAATTATCACAATGTACACATGCTCCACACAGACAAACATTCGGCTATTTGATCAATGATTAGCCTGTAAAGTAATATGTTGGAAGTCAGCAAGATTTGTTCAATCTCTTTTGTGTTTTTCAACCTAATCTGTAAAATCCCGGCCTGCAGGGTGGAATGTTGCTAATGAGGGATAAAAGCTTAACATACGTTTACACAATGGACTGGTCAAGCAACGGTTGCTAGGCTACTGCGGCCAAAAGAATGGCTAGGACTCGGAGGGTCTCAAAGCCCTCGTTTTGTTTTGTTCCGTTCATATTTAATCTCCCAGAGAGCAGCGGTACTCTTTTATTGCTTCAAACTGAGGGGGTTTCCCTTCTTACTTTATGTCTCTCCTTCCTCTCCCTGTTCCATTCGGCTCCCACTTGCTGTGTATTATTTTTCACGTCTGCTTCTTTGCCGGCAGTTTTCAAACTAATAATGCTCTTAAATTCAACTCCTTGAGAGGATCAAAACCAACTAAAAAGTTATCCCTGCCAATATTTTCTTACTCCATTCTCTCTATGTGTTCGGGGGACATAGTTATAAGCTTATAATGCGCACAATCTCCCTCTGATAAACCTTTGCACTGTAGTTGCTTGGCAGGTAGGTTTGAGTCTGTAAATATACTCAAAATAATGAAAGACTTTTTTTTTGTTTGTTGAATCTCAGCTATGCACACAGCAGCTGTTGGAGAACATTTATTACTAATTCCTATGTGTTCAGGGATTTATTTGCAAACTTCCTGTGCTTACTTTGCCTTTTGTTATTTGTTACAACCAGTTATTTTTCATCTTTCCCCTCTATCTCATTACACAACATTGATTTAAACCTGTTTCTTGGCGTTGGCACAGGCACTGACTCCACAGAGCAGCAGCAGCAAGTGCAAGAAGCCACTCTGAAACCTGGCCCTCAGCCAGCACACGTAACCTACATCAGCTCTGGAGTTTTGCATCTTTGTGTGAGCCATAGTATGCCAAGAATGTGTGCTCCAACGCCACCGAAACGGATGGAGTTCCGTTCAGAGCACATGCCACACTATTCTCCCTTCAATCTGAAGCTATTGTCTGGCTTCATCGTGCCCATTCCCCTCCCTCCTCCCGCCTCTCACGGATCACACCAATGTTTCCCTTTCTGCTACATGTTGATATTTAAGCTTCAGTGGGAACTCGTTTTTAAAGGACCAAGTACACAGTGTTAGTGCGGATGATTAGTCAGCTGTGGCTTCCATCTCTACAGGAATATCACTCAGCGCTAAAGTAGATTTAAAGTCATATAAATGAGACGTTCATAATCATATTTCATCCACAACTAAAGGGGCTCGACAAATAATTAGTAGGGAATTAATGCAGCGTGGGCAGAAAAACAGATTACAATAAGTTGCTTTGAACACAAACATCTGTCCAGTGAACGGGATCTATCCCCGTTATAATCAGGTTTATTTACTGGTAGACAAAAGCAGATCAGCCCTATCTTTGCTTCAGTCACAATAAAGGACATAATTAAAAACTACAGAACTGTTTTGCTGCACAGCCGGGTGTGAATGAAAATACAGTTTCTCTCCACGAGCAGCACAGCCAAAGCTTCTCTCAAGAAATCTAGTCTTTAATTAGCTGGACTGAATAAAAAGCACAACAGGAGAGCAAAGCAAAGTTTTAAGTGGCCCATAAAGGCCATACGAATTTCTTTTTAGCCTCTAATTTATCATTTGTCTTAGGTAACATTTTTTCTTGAATAAGTGGAACCTACTAGGTAAAGTAGCCCAAACGGGAACTAGGTGTTGCGGGGCAAATTTCTCTGGCTTCCCACAATTACCCCTGGTGACACACAGACAGTTACTGCCTGTCTTTTTCTGACAAGAGAATGGGCAGAGGGGAGAGAGGAGGAGCTGAGATGCTTTCACTGTGTTTTTTATGACCTCTCCCTGACTGCACCTATTGTTGCTGGGCTGGGTGAAAAGGAAAAGGGCCCACAGCTGAGAAGAGCTGCCTTCCAAAACCCACCAATCCTCTGCATTCCTGCCCGCAGCGCCCCGCTGCAATGATGGATGCCCAAACAGCAGAAGGCACCGGCGGCACACCTTAAACAGTTGATAGGTTTTAATTAGCCAAGCTACGGGTTCACTCAAACGTCGTATAGACCTAAACCAAAAGAGGAAGAGGGCAGACAAAGAACAAACGGCCCAGAGAGAGATGTGACCATGATAGATGGATTTAGCCAACTATTAGCCCTGATCCTTTTCCCATCGACCAGAATGCCTGGGGGCATTCTCATTTCCACCCGGAGAAACAAACCAGTCTGAATGTGTGTTAATCACCCCGGTTCCTTCTTACTACAGGGATCTCAGTTTGAACTGTTGGGTTCAGTTTTAAAGAATTTTTTACAGCAAATAAAGTTACTTCGAAGTATATTTGGTAGCAAAATGTGACTATATATAGAGAGATATGAGGGAAAGGTTACGGTTTACCTTTATGGTGGACAGAAAAGTTCTCCCGCTGAGCTTTGTTCTCTCTACATTCACACCGCAGATGGCAACGGGGAAATTGTTTTAATGGCCCACCAAGTTTGACAAAAATCATGCTGTTTAAATACTTTTTAATAGCAGCTCTCTGGGTGTGAAAATGCTTTGGATTAACACACGATTAAGAGCTGCTCAGCTGTCATATTCAAACCTTTTAAACAATTGATTAATGTGCATTCGTTCTCATTTTAATCCAAAAAACCCCAAAAGTTATTTTACTCCGGGGGGGCAAAGGAAAGAAGCGTGGGACCTGCTTTGAAGACAGCAGCTCTGCTTCTGATCTTCCCACTGTCCCACCGTGAAGGATGGGTCTGCCTCGAGATCCGCTGTTAGAAAGGGGAGCTAAATGGGGGTTGGACCGAGGGTGGGGTCTGCCTTGGGGGCATATCCATCTCCAATTGCGCTGAGCTGTTGTCCTCTTCAAAACATTTTCTATTCAAAGAGTGAGAAAATGTAGACAGGGAAAAAGTGGCAGCGCGGAGGAGGTCTGAGTTGTAATGTGTTGTTAGACGCACCCGGTCACAAAGATCACTGAGCGATTATTACATCTAAATGACACATGACTGTTTTCGAAGAGATGACAGAATCATAATTTTTGCTATTTTCTAATTTATGAACGGCAGTATGCCCGCTCCTCTGAAATGAGCCCCTGAAATTGGACTGAAGGAGGAAGTGTTCCCACGTTGAGGCCACCGGTAACAGACACCTCACAGTTTGTGTTTTTCTTTTCTGGAAAAGTCATTAGTTAGTCTGTCCTGTAACATCTCCACACCAATGGGGAACCCTACAGTGTGAGAACAACACACACCCATTTTGTTGACAGCAGTGGCGGTAGCCCTCTCCGGACAGGAGAAACACAGGGCCTCCACCCAGAGGCCGACGCGCTTCGTCGGAGTGGTGCGGTGTCCGTCCATTGCTTTGGCCTCGGACATTGTGCGAGGCGGCTGTCCGGTGTCGTCAAAACACCACACCAAGGACGAGTGGTTCCATCAACTCCAGAAAACTTGTCAGTCAGTTCGGAGTCAGATTCAAACACACAGCCTGTCAGCGCTGGCGGCTTTCAATGTCACTTTATTTTTAACCTGGCAGTGATTTTTGTGATATTTACTCCACTTGACAGACTTTCTGGGAACATGTTAGTCTGTCATTAGATTGCTGTATACATATATATATATATGTATATGATTATCTTTTACAACCGTCTAGTATTCAGGTAGATGTAGTATTTAATTGTGTAGTCCTTTTTTATTAGATGTCTATAAAGGTTTCTCTATCCTGTTTTGACATCCATTCATATGTTGATATCCCTTGAACACAGAATACACATCTACAGGACAACCTGACAGTACAGTGCAGCATGAAGTGGCTTTGAATGTAAACAGAAAAAAGTTAGCAGATTCACTGACATTTTCCTTATATTTTCTAGCTATGGCTCTGTTTTGTTATTAGCCTGGCTGCTGACGGGCTGCTTTAAAGGAGTAGAGAGGCCGTCCGGTGCTCTTCGTGTGGCATCACGTCAGCGTGGAGTCATGTAGACAGTTAGCTAGTTCTTTTATGCGACATTTCTAGAGGGCTGACACTAAAGTAACACGGAGCTACAAAGGAAGTATTTGGCGTGATACTCTATAGGCCAATCAGCACGGTCAAGTTCATCCCAAAACCTCTGTTCCTCAGGTTGTGTAACCAAGCCATCCTAAGTCATTATTAGCCCACTGAGTCTGCTGGGAGGAATCTTTGGAATCACTGAGAGGAGACTTGACAACAGGAAGCTGAAGTATATCATTGGTCCAGTGAAACCTGTTTGTAATGGAATTCCTATTGTTGCAGCCTGGGTAGAGGATCCCCTCGGTGCCGGAGGCTTGTAATGGCACCGGTGGCCCTCTTTATTAATGAGGACCCGCAGGAGTCTCTCTGCACTGATAATGCTTCCTGATTTTTCTCATAGTTAAATGGTTGTCACCCGCCTACCTGTGGCTGCAGCAAGTTTTTTCCGAACCGCTGGAAGTGCCTATTCCTGCGGCAGCTGGTTTGATTTGGGAGGTTAGGAAGCCATTTTCAGCAAAGCAGTAGAATCCAAATGTCAGTCCTGAAAGGCCAGTCTGACTTGGAGAGTAAATTCCATGAAAGAGGGAGCGGCAGGTCTGAGATGATGAGCTTGTGCTCTTTGTAAGGTGGTTGTAGCTCGTTTGAGGCTTGGGGAAAATACAAACATCATATTGAGATGTCTTTAACAACTCTGATTCATTCCAGGAATGAAAAATACTGATGGTCATCCCCATTTCTGGGTATTTTTTCTTGTTTTTTGTTGCTTTTTCGCTGTAGTTAAAGATTCCAAGGCCCCATGAGCGTAAACACGGCTTTTAAAGGATCGTTTATGTTCCACAAACCCCGATAAACGCACAATCTTTTTCTGACAGCGGCTTGTCCTGCAGAACGCGGGGTGGCATGGTGGGAAAAAGCTGCTGCCCTGTGAAACGGAGCCCGGCGGCTCCTGTTAGTGAAGTGCACGTTGCTCTGCGTTGGGCTCAGGGATACGGAGCGCGTCTACCCGAGCGATTTGCGGGTTCCCCGGGTTCCCAAACGCCTCCAGAACCGTGAACACGCAGGACTGGGAACGGGTGCCCGTTCTGCCGGCTGTAAGAGGAGAAGTGCAAAAAAGGGTTCACCACAGTGAAGTCCAGAAGAAGTTTTGTTTTTCACTGATGTGGAGGAGTGTGTTCAAGGTCAGAGAGCGACTGGGAAACCAAAGTCTGTTTATCTCAAATTAGACTGCTACATATTTCTTATAGAACATAATTCTTATACAGAACACTCACTCAGGTTCCTTTTGTTATTGTCTCGTAAACATTCTACTCGATATCTATAGATCTGAATCAGCTTTGTTGATTAATCAGCTTTACTACCTGAAACGTCACCTCAGGCCTCAGCGACGCCATCAGGTTCAACATAACCCTAAATTATCAGTAGCTGTGCTTTGGGTTATCTCTGGGCGATTCCTGTAGTTAAACGTTCATGTTGGAGTTCTTAGTTGATGTTCATTTAATATGTGGAAATAACTATATGTATGATTGGAAAGCGATGCGCCTTGTTAGCAGGATCCCCAGAATGGAGACAGCAGAACAACTAGACCAGGCTCCAGTGGGTGAAACGAGGAGGGGGGGCGCCGTTTGATTTCCGACTTTCCACACATAATGAAGTCGGTCAGTCTTTTCTTATTGAAGCAGTGTGTGCTCATAGGATTGAGCTCATGCGTCGGCGGGCTGTGGCGCTGCTCTCAGGCCAGGTCTAGTGTTACGGGCAGGTTTGGAGAATTCCTCCCCTCTTTGATGTGTTAAGCAGTTTTCAGACTGGAGGACAGCTGCTTTGTGGTGCTGTCAGTCTTCTGTTACCACGGTAATAAATGGGCCGTATACCACTGACGGCCCTTTGCAATATCAACTATCATCTCCTGTCTTGCACAGTTGTCCTCCCACTCTTCTTCTCTGCCTCTTTTCCACTTTCTTCCTGACATCATCCTCATCGCGTATGTCCATCTTTCTTTCCAAACGTCCACAATGAAGCATAATCGCTTTAATTGTCTTTTATCTGTTGCATGTTTTTTTTTCTTTTATTACAGTTTTATTACTTGAAGTAATCGAGAACGACGACATTGGAAGGAAGACGCTGAAGATCACTGACTTCGGCTTGGCCCGGGAGTGGCACAAAACCACCAAGATGTCCGCGGCAGGCACCTACTCCTGGATGGCCCCGGAAGTGATCAAGTCCTCTCTCTTCTCCAAAGGCAGCGACGTCTGGAGGTGCGTTCAAGTGTCCAGGGCTTTGCCCCCCCCTCTTCCCCCGGCGCTTTTTTTTTTACTCTCGTCTCTGTTCCACCAGCTACGGCGTCTTGCTGTGGGAGCTGCTGACGGGGGAAGTGCCGTACCGAGGGATCGACGGCCTGGCCGTCGCTTACGGCGTCGCGGTCAATAAGCTAACGCTGCCCATCCCTTCCACCTGCCCTGAGCCGTTTGCCAAACTCATGGAAGGTAGGCGGACAGATCCCTGCACAGCTCAGGCCGTTACGCTGAACTGAACTCTTTAGAATGGACTATTCCGTCTATAGAACCAAGATTACACACAAACAGTAGCTAAAAGTTCTTTTTTTCACTTCTACTACTACATGTCTTTAGCAAAAGTTGTTTTTGTTTTACATATGCAAAGTAAAATTACTTTTTATTGAATTTGATTTATTTCTGATTTAATCTCACAGCTGAATGTTTTATGGCCTGTAACTATTGTTTATAGTGTGTGTACATTTGTAAATATCACTTCTTAATTTATTTTCCAAGATAATCTAAATAACAGCATAAATCATCACAATTTGACAAATGCAGTTTTCCAACTTATTTGGTATTTTAAATTAATTTAAATAATTGAACAGTTATGCATCGAAATACCCAAAAGCGCAGTCCCACCAAAATGACCACTAAACCCGCTTCGGATCCATATCTGAGCTGTAGTTTTTCATCTGATTCGATTCACATGTGTGTTTTAGTCACCTTTTTTCAGCATCGGCCAGAAATCGGCGTCACCGTTTTGTCACAAAACGTCACACCGCTAACTGTGATTTAACCACGAAGGTGTCCGCTAAATCTGTGCGCCTCTCTGCCGCCCCGGTCACTGTAGAGTGCTGGGACCAGGACCCCCACGTGCGGCCCTCCTTCTCCTGCATCCTGGAGCAGCTGTCGGCCATCGAGGAGGCGGTGATGGCCACCATGCCGCAGGACTCCTTCCACAGCATGCAGGACGACTGGCGCGTGGAGATCCAGGAGATGTTCGACGAGCTCAGGACCAAAGAGAAGGTACCATCGCCCTCGCATCGGTCGGCGGGGAAACGCCGGCACCAGCCATAGGGGGAACCTGCGAGCCGTTGCTCCCGGCAGTTTTTACGGACTCAAAGTCTAATCTAAAAGTTGCTTTAAGTGGATAAGCTAATTGGGTGTTTTAATGCCGAGGTGCGTCGGCGTAGTTCCCCCACGTTAAGACCTTAATCTGCTTCCTGTGTGCAAGTCTCCCGTCGCTGGCTTAAGAGTGGAGGGTAATTAGCGTTTACAGAAGCAGGACAAGCACAGATCCAGACAACAAGGCCGAACAACACGAGTTTCAGGGGATTCTTTTGCCCCTTTTTATGTGATGTAGACAAATCTTTTCAGCTTCATTCTGGTTAACTCGTACAGGTAGACCACCTTTCTGCATTTACCAGCCAGCTGAGCTTTATGACGCTCCATTAGTGTCCCGTCACACATTAAGAGAGGAAATGTTTTTGAGCAGTTTCCCATCACAAATGTCTCAAGATTACCCGCATAATTAGCCTCTGAATCATCAGATTTCCTGTAAATATCTGTCGGTAATCTGTGTCTTGGTGGGTGGCTGGAGTGGTTTGACCGCAAAGCTGCTTTATTGAAGTCATCCAGTAAGGATTATTATTGCCGAGCAGAGGGCAATTCAGTGGAAAACGGAGGAAAGAGTAAGCCATGGGGCTGTTGCACCATAGTTCCACAAAAGCGGGTAATCTCCTGGGACCGACTGGTTATGGATGAAGTTCTCTTAACAATCCTGCCTGTCTTAGGTCTTCATATGTCTTTGTTTATAGAAACATACAGTTAAAACTGCTTTAACATGCGAGAGGCATGACTGGGACTCACTGATGGGCGGTGATATACACTCTGGGGGGGCGCAGACGTTTTTTTCTCCACCTCCACCCTAACGCACCTGCCCATCTCCCCCCCCAGGAGCTGCGTTCCCGGGAGGAGGAGCTGACCCGGGCGGCCCTGCAGCAGAAGTCTCAGGAGGAGCTGCTGAAGCGGCGGGAGCAGCAGCTGGCCGAGCGGGAGATCAACGTGCTGGAGAGGGAGCTCAACATCCTCATCTTCCAGCTCAACAAAGACAAGCCCAACGTGAAGAAGAGGAAAGGCAAATTCAAGCGCTCGCGCCTGAAGCTGAAGGACGGGAACCGCATCAGCCTGCCCTCAGGTCAGCAGACAGGGCGCCAGGAGGGCCGGCGAGCGGTGGAGGCAGCAGATCGAGCCAACCCCCACCCAACCCCGTCTAAACATGTCATTCCTCTGGTCACGTCACAGACTTCCAGCACAAAATCACCGTGCAGGCGTCGCCCTCCATGGACAAGAGGCGGAGCCTCCACAGCACCAGCTCCTCCCCCCCCAGCAGCCCCACGCTCATCCCCCGGCTCCGAGCCATTCAGCGTAGGTCCACTTTCTTTTGACTGTCTCCACGTTCTTCCTTAAAAATTGTATGACTGTTTCAGGCAAATAAGTGATAAGAGAAGGTGACTCGACTCGTAGAGAATTTCAGTAAATCACTGACTGTGCAAAGAGCCGTGGGACAGCAGGCCGAGCCACGGGTAGTCCGCCAGTTGTTTGAACAGTTTCATAAAGATGTTAGTCACGCACCGACGCCCCTGCAATAACCCGAGCACATTCCCCGTGTGCGGTGACGGTAGATTAAAATATTTAGATAAGGCACGCAGACAGTCGCTCAGCTAACAGAGAGACGTTCTGCCACACACTCACACAGGTGCCGTCCCACCTCCCATTCTGAGCTCGAAACTGTACTCAGGTAGTGTTTTTCAGATTTCTGAAATAGAACCAAACGTCCCTCTGTAGACGTGGCAACGACCCCGAGCCTGGAATGCCCTGAAGTGTCACCACCCATTTAGAGTTAAAACCAAGAGGAGAGGTGGAGGCTATTCTACAGACTGTGTTGGGATCGAACAAATGGCATAATACCCCTAATAATCCCCCTAACCCGTCTAAGCTGACTTCTGCTGAAGGCTGAGTCCTCTGTGCACGGCTGTGTTTGCAGTTACTCAAGACGAGAGCAACCGCACGTGGGGCCGCAGCACCCTCTTCAGGCCAGAGGAGTTCGACGACGTGAAAAAGGGAATCAAGAAGAAAGGAAGGACCTGGGGCCCCAGTTCAGTCCAGAGCAAAGAGAGACCGGCCGCCGCCGAGAGGTGAGGTCTTGCGCGGGGGGGGGGCAAATCGTTTCATGACCGCCTCAGGCGGGCTGCGTCCAGGCGCCCCGCCGCCCGCTCTCAGCTCTCCTCCTGTGCTGTTCTGTCCAGAGTGCGTCCTCTGTCGGACGGCAGCAACCCCTGGTCCACCAGCCTGATGAAGTCCCAGAAGTCCGTGCCCCTCGCCGCCCTGTTTGTTGAGCAAGGTGAGCCCCACACACACACACACACACACACACACACTTTGAGGTTCAATCTCCATGTAAAGACGTTTCGTTTGAAAACGTTTGGTCTTTTTCTTTTTTTCCCCCCCTGCGTGTCGTCAGCCGGGGCGGGCAAAGACGAGGCCTACTCCCAGGAATGTCCCGACAGCAGCTCCAAACCAAAGCAGCTCAAGTTCCCCAACCAGGTGTACATCGACCTACCTCTGTGGAGGGACGAGCAGCAGCCCCAGAGCCCCGGCGGGGGCCACGGCCCGGGAGAGGCCGGGCCGGGCGCCGCCAGCCCCGGCGCCGCGCCCGAGACCGCCGCCGACGACCCCTGCACCACCACCTCCACCTCCTCCGCCTCCACCACCCCCCAGCTCACCCCCACCAACAGCCTGAAGAGGTCGTCGGCCCGCCGGAGGACGGACTCGGTCCTGTACGGCTGCGGCTCGCTGCTGGCCTCCGTGGTGCTGGGCTACGACATCAGGGAGGCCCTGAGAAGCTCCGCCCCCGCCGAGGACCCCGAGCCCCCCAAAGAGGAGAGGGAGAAGAAGAAGAAGGAGGGCCTGTTCCAGCGCGCCACCCGCTTCCGCCGCAGCACCTCGCCGCCGGGCGGCCGCGCCCGCAGGGAGGAGGCGCCGCCCGCCCCCCCGCCCGTCAACCTGGTCTCCATGTCGGCCATCGTGGAATGCAACTCCACCAAGTGCCTCCTGCAGGCCGAGGCGGG